CACACACACACATATATATATATATATATATATATATATATATATATATATATATATATATATATATAAAATAGATAACCTGCTATTCATACCCCTTGTAAGGAATCATTGCATCAGGTAACTTAAAACATTTAACTGCTACAATATATAATGTGGGAATGAGGATTTGTATTTCTGGCTTCTACACTCTAAAAAATGCTGGGTTAAATACAACCCAGTGCTGGGTAAAATAGGAAACGGTCCTCCATAAAATATGCTGCACACATCTGAATATTTGGGTTGAAGTGTTCTGGAACAGTGTTGTAAATACAACTTAACCACTGATTTCTAGTCGTGTCCATTTTTGGAAGACCAAACAAAGTAGTTTCGCTTTCACAATGAAACACAGCATCACACACGGCGGCCTAGAGTGAGCAGAGGCCGGGGGCTAGAGTGAGGAACGGCCGGAAGGCTAGAGTGAGCAGAGGCGGCGGGCTTGAGAACGGTGCGGCCGGCGGATTCGACAAAGGAGCATTCGGAGGGCTTGCGGCAACCACATGTGACGACCCGGGCTGGGTAACACTCCAAAGAGAAAGGAAAAATTGAAATCGCATCATATGACCCCTTTAAGGATTCATCTGTGAATTTTGCATTCGCCCACCTGCCACATGCTGCGGTTCTTTCTCATCCATCCCACAGTCAAAGGACACGCAGCTGCGCTTGTGTGGTTCTGCAAGAGAACACTTACAGAGACAGATGCCTGTGAAATACACGGCCGTCTGTGAAGCTTTACAGGTGTTTATACTTATAACAGCGATCCCCTGGAGAGCTGAATGACAGTGGAACAACACTGCTGGCAGTCGGTCTGCTCAAGAGTGAGCTGAAACTGAAAACAATTATCTTAAGACAACATATTTTTGTAGCGTTTTCTGATTTAAGTCTACCTCCAGCTAATAACTGCCCTGGGGTGTTACATATGGGAACTAAGCAAATTGACTTGCCGTCACATGTTTTCTTATCTAGCACAGGGCCCCAAATTAGAAATTTTTACTCTTCAAGGGGGTAAAAAAATCAAGTTAATACATATTTTGAAATAGCTCTCAGAATAGTCTAATAATAATTTTGTCTCGACATAAATTCTTGGCCATCTTAAAATTGTCTACTATATTATAGTTTTATAAGTATAGTTTAAGAGTTACTTTCAGCTGGTTTAAGAGCAGTGTTGGGTAGATACTTACAAATTGTAGTCCATAACTAATTACAAATTACATGACAAAAATTGTAGTTAATAACAAAATCTGGATTTAGGTATTAGGCAATGTAGTCAGTCTACTTTTTGATTACTTTTAGATTACTTTTGACCAAACTCGTTTATCACATAGACTTGTAGAATGTGGTTATTGTGTACCATATTGATTAAAACAACAACAAATTAAATATTTCATTCTTTGTAATACATTTGTCTATAATATTGATAATTACTGAAGGTAAATGATGAAGACATATTTCACAGCTATGTGTTTAACTTGCATAATTATTAATCTCATGTGTATAAGTGGTAGAATAATTTAGAAAGGAAAATTTAAAATACAAAAATAAAAAGCTGGGGTGAATCAATAAATTATTAATCATTTACTGTCATTGTGTGAATAATATGTAATCATGTAATCCATAAAGAAGTGACTGTAATCTGATTATGAGCATTTTAAAATGTAATATAATCTTATTACAAGTACTTCATTTTTGGAATCCTGATTACATATACTCAGTTACTGTTTAAGGGATCGTGTAAGGAATATAATGCAATGCCATGATTTTGGGACAATTCATGGGAAATGCTTTGTACATGTCTCAAGAATCACTGTTTTGACTTTGCTATGCATCAAGGGTCATTATTTCAAATTTTCAAATGTTAAATGAATCAGGATTCAAACAAGCAGAAAATCCTAACAGTACCTACTGTTAAAAATAGAATATCATATTCACAAAAGTCAAATATAAATGTCATAAAATAATCAGTTTTTCATCACTTTTGTGAAGTACATCAGGGACACCATGCATTTATATATTTGCAGGGGGGACTAGTGACAGTCCTGGCTCATTTGGTGTCCAAAACAAGATACAACATGACTAAACAGGGGAAAACGCTCTTAAACGATTGGAAGATTTCCAATAGTCCAGTGAGAAAATGTACCCGAGTCAAACCCCAACTTAAGCTTATTGTTGCATTTTGTAATTAAAAAGAGGCTGAAATTGTCCATAACTAAACAAAATAATTTTCCCTGTCCAATAAAAAAAGGACAAACATTTTAAATATGTCATCTGTGGAAGTAGCAAACTCAATTAGACTGACCAAATTGAGACATCACATGCAAATTAATGATTTGTGCCACAGCTTTTCAGACAAAAAAATGTTACCTCTAAAAATAAAAAAAAATAAAAAAATTTTGGAATTTAATTAATCCACTTGAAATATTTTAAATGCATCACTCTCTGTAATGTTCTGACCCTTTCACTAGGACTAGAAGACATTGTTTATAAATAGATTTTCATTTTGTACTATTCTGTATTTTCCTTTAAGCCAATGTTGCTCATTTCACTTGAACTCACAGTCTGTGCTTCTTCCCATCTTCTCTCATTTTGCTGGCCTAACTTTACCCCAGACACCCAGAAAATCACATAAAACACTGCACCAGCCTGAGAACATCTCAATGAAGCCACTATCCGCGGGTAATGCTTCTGTCAACCACTGGAAGGCAGTTTTGTACAGATTATTTCACCCTGTTTTCTCTGTTGCATGTAAAAGCACAAAAAGCAGGACATCTGGTCTGTTTAGTCATCTTCAGGGGTGGACTTACCCATTAGACAAAGGTCAGCGACCGCCGTGGGCCCTCAAAAGCCAAGGGCCCCCTAAAATGCTTTTTCATACACCAGATGCGCATTAAGCGTGGACACGCAAACGGTTGCTGTTTATTGTGTTTATTACCACGACAACCGTTTGCGTATCCGCGTTGAACCTGTTTCTTGTGCATCAACAGTGGGTATTATATGTTTATTGTTTTAAATGCCGCTTATTCATGAAAAGGACCCAAATCATTGTTTTGGTTGATAAGCCTATAATCCTTAGGTGTGTAAATGCATACTTACATTTTCATTCTTTTTTTCCAGTTTCATTTAAATTTGTAGTTAATATTACTAAAATTAAATGTATTTGCATTAAGCGTGGACACGCAAACGGTTGCTGTTTATTGTGTTTATTACCACGACAACCGTTTGCGTATCCGCGTTGAACCTGCTTCTTGTGCATCAACAGTGGGTATTATATGTTTATTGTTTTAAATGCCGCTTATTCATGAAAAGGACCCAAATCATTGTTTTGGTTGATAAGCCTATAATCCTTAGGTGTGTAAATGCATACTTACATTTTCATTCTTTTTTTCAGTTTCATTTAAATTTGTAGTTAATATTACTAAAATTAAATGTATTTTATATTTTTTCACACTTTTCTCATTCTTTCTAATTCAAGTTTTTATATGAATGAATTGTCTGCCTTCAGAAAAGTTTTCATGGTATTTTCATTTTATCTGATAAAGTAGCTTATGAGCGCAGCACTGCTTTGTTTACCACTATATTTCTGATGTTCCAAAAGCGCCTCCTACTGGCAGAGAATGAATGTGCATTTTCAATAATCCCGTCTGCAGTTTTTGTTCAGACCAATGCGAAAATCCACCCACATAACCCTGTTTTAAATAAAAATAGTAATTTATACTTCTGATTCATCGCTTTTGTTTAAAAAAAAAATGGTTTAAAGGCTCAATTGTGAGGTTTATAATTTTAGAACTTTGTTTTTGTGAAAACCTGTATCTCAACTGTAAATCAATTGCTATTTCTTGGTTCTGATAAAGTAGCTTATGAGCGCAGCACTGCTTTGTTTACCACTATATTTCTGATGTTCCAAAAGCGCCTCCTACTGGCAGAGAATGAATGTGCATTTTCAATAATCCCGTCTGCCGTTTTTGTTCAGACCAATGCGAAAATCCACCCACATAACCTCGTTTTAAATAAAAATAGTAATTTATACTTCTGACTCATCGCTTTTGTTTAAAAAAAAATGGTTTAAAGGCTCAATTGTGAGGTTTATAATTTTAGAACTTATCTCTGTATCTCAACTGTAAATCAATTGCTATTTCTTGGTCTACAACATGAAAGAAAGCCATAGTAAGAGGTACATGAAAAATGTAACTGGACACTCAAGGACACAAATATGGGGCACCATTGAGCATCAGCAAGCATCACAACAACAACAAAAAACAACCTCAAAGTTGATCCAGGTCCCATTCCTATATTTTGCCTGGGGCCCCCAATTCATTAAATTCACCCCTGGTCATCTTATCATATCCCTTTGGCTGCCCTTATGTAATTCATAACCAAATGTCAGGTTTCCTTGAGAATATGCGTGGGAATGATTTAATATCATCTTTCCTGTTGAATTCTCCTGTTGAATAGGTTGGTGACATTTAGCTACTGCATATATTTGGTTAAATAACGTGTGAAATGTAGTGTGACTCACCTGTGCTGACGTCCTTCTAAGAATGCTAAAACATTTCATTGTTAAACATAATGGATACATCGATTCCGGACAACATGCAAAGAGATTAGCTGTAGCATTCAACACAACAATTGTGTCCTAACCAGGCGTGATGCAAGCAATTTGTCCATCCACAATGAAAGTGAAAACGCTGCACGACCTCATACAAACACGGGCAATTAGAACATGTTTATCATTTAAGCTGCATTCAAGTCATGTAAACATCTCAGTAAACACACTAGCGACTGCCCGTGCACAAGCTGCCATATAAGCAGTAAGAGAAATAAAATAAAAATAAAAGTCATATTTGTAAGAGAACTCTCAGGAGCTATTAAAACAATTTCTATAATATTGTACAAATTAAATATTTGCGGTTTATGCTGTATATTTTATCTATACTGTATCTAATTTGAAGAGGAAAATGAGGTTATGTGGAGGTGGAATTTTGGACCAATGAGATTTCACTATGGGCGGGGTCACACGGCAGGACTCCACAGGGATTGGTTGTGCCCGAAGGTTCGATGGTTGGTGGAAAGGATAAAAGGATAAAATATAAAATATCATCTGAGAGGAGAAAGTTTTTTTTTAAAATTGTAATTCTATTTCTAACGACAAAAAAGCAGTATACTGTCTTAATTTTTAGATGCAGCGTATAAACGAAAATTATCAATGAAATGTCCTGTCATTCATCACATGGCATGCTTACAGGTTAGTAACAAAACCATAACTTGTAACTTTTATCGCAAAATTAATAAACTTGGTCCAAAGTATTCCAAACAGAGTATTATAAATAAAATAAAGAGAGAGAGAAAAAAATCTAACTAGTTTATAAGCTAACAGAAACATCCATTAAGGGCAAAAGTCACAGTTTGAATCACTGTTTTATTCAAAACATGTGTCTATATATTTAACGAAAGAGGGCAACAGCCCTCCTACATAACCCCACAGTTTTATTGGAATATTAATAACAATATAATCTGAATAATTTGCTTTATTTTCTTCATTGTGGGTGTGATTCTTCAAGCACTGGTATAGAAATCTTTGAAAATTAATGAGAAATAAAAAAATCAGCTTTGATTAAAAAAAAATGATTTCTGTCTCCCTTTGGCACACACACACTCACTCACTCTCAAACACAATCATAAAGCACCAACATACAAATGCTATAATGCTGCAGATTCTAAACAGGGCTGCTATGTTTACACTTTGGAGATAAATGGATAACTGCATCTCACAAGCACCCAGACAGCAACTTCTAGCGCACTTCAGCAAACCATTCACGATAGAGGCTCATTTTGTTCTGTAATGAAAAACATCATTAATTGTCCTCTCACATAATCAGATAAATGCCCCTTTAGGTGCACAAAGGCTTTTCTGTCTCGTCTTGTTGTTGTTGTCATTGTTCCAGGGATGAAAAATGTTTATCTGTGTTCTTGAGAATTGCAAATTCTGATGGGGAGCTTGTTAAAGTCAACATGAAATCGAAACAGATCCTATTTAGTTTCTTTACACACATTCATGGCCTTATTGTGAATGATTCACCAGTGTATGTTAGGGAGAAATGCAAAAAAATTTAACTTTCCTGTTCAGTTGACATCATCGAGTTTGTGCGGCTATTAGTAAATATTAACCAATAGCCAAATTGGCATTATTGTACAGTACTGTATTAAGTACAGTAATGCAGCCTTTTTAAAATCTCGCCAATAATTAGCACAGTAATTCAATGATGGTTAACAATAATACAATGAAGGTTATGGCAAAAATAGCAAATAAGTATTGATTTGGAAAGCAGTGTTACCAATGGGATTGGCTGAGACTGTCTCAAGGGTGAATCTTGCACTCCATAGTCCAATGACATTCAGGTCTGGAACACTCACTTTGGAGTTTTTCATCCCGTCTTACATTCCCCTACTTAAATATCCTGTTTTACCTGGAAATGTCACATTACGGAAGTAAACTAGGTTTTTAATGCCTTTCATGTTGATTTTAACCTTTAACAGTTGGCGTTTATACGAGTAAAAAGGAAAATTCTGTCATTAATTACTCACCCTTGTGTTGTTCGAAACCCGTAAGACCTTCGTTCATCTTCGCAACACAATTTAAGATATTTTTGATTAAATCTGAGGGCTCTCTGACCCTCCCATAGACAGCAAGGTAACTACCACGTTCAAGGTCCAGAAAAGTACCAAGATGATCGACAAAGTAGTCCGTGTGACATCAGTGGTTCAACTGTAAAGTTACGAAGCTATGAGAATACTTTTTTTGCGCAAAGAAAACAAAAATAACAACTTTATTCCACATTTTCATCTCTACTGTGTCACTTGTGAACACGCGTTCACGACAGTATCATGACGCGAGCATGTGGCGGCGCTGACCCAGATCTGGCGTAATGACGTCATCACGCCGGATCTGGGTCAGCGCCGGCGCCGGCGCCGCCACACGCTCACGTCATGGTGATCGTAACTTTACAGTTGAACCACTGATGTCACACGGACTACTTTGTTGATCATCTTGGCACTTTTCTGGACCTCGAGCATGGTAGTTACCTTGCTGTCTATGGGAAGGTAAGAGAGCCCTCAGATTCCATCAAAAATATCTTAAATTGTGTTCCGAAGATGAACGAAGGTCATATCGGGTTTGGAAAAACACGAGGGTGAGAAATTAATGACAGAATTTTCATTTTTGGGTGAACTAACCCTTTAAGACAGAAGATGAGAGACTGAAACCAGGTGAGTAATCTTAGAGGTTGAAGAAGAGGAAAACCAATTCCTGACCACAAAACTTACAAAAATCTATATACTTTGTCCTCAGAGAAATTAACAAGAGGGAAAAAACAAATATTGTATTTTTTTTTAAAGAACTGAAAGAATGAAACCAAAGAAGAAGCTAGAAAGGAAAACAAGCAAGAGACATTCAGGAATAAAAATGAATTGTAACCCTCCCCAACTTATTTAAAGAATGAAGAAATAAAATAAAATGAATTTGCACCAAAGTCATTTCAGTTCAATGTGCACACGTTTTAGGTACAGACTCCATCGTCCTCTCACAGGAGCGCAGTCCCCCATCACAAAGCATGAAGAAGATCCACACTTCTTTGCAAAACTAACAACTGTCCTCATAGTTTTCCTGCACCTTTCCCTTTATGACATGTTGCATAGCATACTTTCACAGGATATGCATTACATAGTCTCAACAGCATGCCAAACCTCACTGGCTTTCTGAGCGCTGCTGCAAGACGTGGTGTTAAAACCAGACACTTGGACAGCAAGCGGTTGGCTGAATCATCTTTCTCTCACTCAGTGTAATTTTGCATTCAAAAATGGCCTTTATTTGCAGTATCCCAGAGTTCACTTTGACTGGAGTCGTGGGCAGAGTCTTTCCGTCTGTCCTCCAGCACTCATTTACATTAAATTATTGTCCCGACAAAAGTTTCCTTAGTCTCGGTCTCAGTCCTGCTTGCAGAGGAGATCGGTAGAGGGAGTTTTAGTGGGCGGCAGCGGCCTTGGAGGGGGCGTGGGTTTGGCCCTGCGTGGGCTGCCCGAGCCTCCTTCCTCGCTGTCAGTGTTTGTATTGGAGGCGGAGGGGGGCGGCGGTGGCAAACGTGGGAGAGAGGACGTGGCGGAGGCCAGTGGCGAGATGCGTGAGCAAGATGGCATGGAGCGAAGGCTCTGGATCCGCCGGCACTCCTGGCACACTCGCACGTGGGTGCAGCCGCGGGGCGCCGCCGTGGGGACCAGAGCGGGTGCGCTACTGGGGACACTGGCGCTGAGAGGATCCTCCAGCAGTCGCTGAGGGCCTGGGCCCATTTCCGCAGCGCCCCCACCAGGTCCCGGTCCTGCTGCAGCGCCAGTTAATGGTCCTGTCCCGCTGTAGAGTTTGCCGTTGCTGAGACGCATCTCCCGCACAAGGCGCATTTGACGGGGAGCTCCTAAAGGGAGACGGGCCGGGGGCCGGAGGATGCCCTGGGACGAGAGGGGTCGCCGGCGCCGCAAACGAGTGTTCTTTTTACAGGAGATAACGTTTCTGAATTCAGTCATCATCTCCTGACATACTGACACCTTAGTGAGGATCAAAGAGGAAGAGAGAGAAAAGAGAGTCAGGAAGGAAATATATAAGGAGAAAAGACAAAAAGTGAAAACAGAATATAATTTATCTAATGTGGGCATCACTATTCGTATCTCATAATGAAAGTTAGGGCAGTGGTTCTCAACCTTTTTCCACTTCAAGACCCTGCACTGCACACAACAATATTTGAAGGCCCAATAACTTGTACAGCTGCTCGTTATTTACTTGATAAGGATTCGTTAATAAAAAAAATATTTTGAGCTTGGCATCAGTAGAAAAATGCATAGTCATAAAATATATTAAAATACCCATGGAATTATAAGGTTAATAATTTACATGACATTCCAGTTCTATATTAAAATGAGGTTACATCATATTTCCTGGTATTTCAACGCAAAAAAATTAATCCTGGTTCTTCAAAGAGGGGGTGAATTTGAAAAAAGAAATATCTTGAGTTTTAGTTGTTTCAGCTTATTTTAATGCTTTTTTATGTCTTATTATAAATCAGTCATCTTGAGGCCCCCTTGGAAGTTTGCTGAGGCCCCAGAGTGGGCCCCGGCCCCCTGGCTGAGAACCACTTACTTAGGGGTTTATCTACCTAGCAGACTAATAAACGGGTAAAAAAATCCCATAAATTTAAATGTATGCATTTGGTAGAAGATTTTATCCAAAGCGACTTTCAATTCATTCAATATACATATTATATCAGTAAATGTGCTTGCTGTTGCTAATGACTTTTGCTTTGCCACTTGATTACAGAAAAAACCTGCATTGAATAACTTTGCAAAGTAGAGTCTTCTGTACAAGAACAACTAAGTCTTTATTTTTTCCATTTGTCTAGTTGCATGAGCAAGCATTTTCTTTAGAAAAATAAAAACAAGATTCCTTTTTTTTTCTCAACTTCAGTCTTAAAAATGTTTAATTTTCCATTTAATTAAATGAACATACTAAAATGGTTTATAATAGCATTCATGCATACTCAACAACTTGTCCCTTTTTATCCAAAGCAACATATATGCAGCACACAATGCATATACATTTTATCATTTCGGGGAATCGAACCCATGACCTTGTTGCTGCTAAAGCCATGTACACTGTTTGAGCTGCAAAAATACGAGCGGTAAACTGTGTGAAAGCTATGGAACAGTTACATCACACAAACAGACGGCGTAACTGGGTGGCGTTGTGACGTACTCGTGAGTGTCTGTGGTTTCGGATGGGGCAGGAGTGAAGGCGTACCTCATCTGTCTCGGCCGAGCGGCGCGTGGACCACACAAACTCCATAATGGCTACAAAAACAGCTATTATGAGCCCACATATCAGCACAACAAATATCCCGCCGATATTCTCCATACCTAGACCTAAAGAAAAAACACAGAAATGTGAGTAACACACAGAAACATCCTTCCACACACACACACACACACACACACACACTGTGGATCTGATTAGATATCTGCATTCCCGCAGGTTTCCAGAGGGATCCTATTAAAACATATTTCAGAATTGTAGGTGGGTGTAGGCGGTATTCCTTAGAGTTATCAGCGGAAGCATGAAGCCAGGTGGTTTGATAAGTACAATTTTTAATTTCTCTTTATAAATAAATAAATAAATAATGTCTGAAATGATCTTTTTCTATGAATTTATTAAAATAATAACAATAATAATAATAATAATGAGGGAACGGAACCTAAAATGCGCAGGACTGCGTGGGAAGAATGTCAGAAGCCACTGTGAGTATAAAAGGAAGGAGAAATATCTTTAAAAAAAAAAGAAAAAAAAGAAGAAGAAATGTATTTCTATTAACATGAACTTGTTTGATTTTGCACAATAATCAACTTCTATTCTGTGTTGGGTCACCATTAAAATTGAACTCCTGAAGTAACAACATCTGAGAACAGACAGGGATTTTCAGCTTCTCTTAATCAGGATTCAAGTGGTTTAGTTGCCATTGATACTATTACAAAGAAACACCAACTAAAAATGTTGTTTGAGCAAGAATTAAGTGCACAGAATAACTCTGGGTTTAGCAGTACTGAATCACAAAAACAGAGCTCATATTATTTGACATTTTTTTGCAGACCTGTAAATAACCCTGAGAGACTGTAAATGTCACTTTCTGGTGAATATACAAGCTTTGCAAACCACACTAGAGAAATTACACACACAGGTGCACGTGTGTGTGTTCATGCCTGCGCACCAAATAGCTACCATTTTCCCTCCAATCCCCCTGAGCCTGCATGAGTCTACAACATACAGAATGGAAATATCACCAGACCACACAAATAAACACTCACAGAGTTAGCAGAACTGTGACGCATCTGTTGTTTGAATCAGACGGATGTAGTACATCCTATATGCAACATTATAGCAATATAGAGAGCGACAGGAAATCAAACATCCACACTGCCAATATTTGTGTGATTTGAGGAAAATTCATTTTTTTTACATTTCACACAAATAGATGTTTATTTGAAGAGCAAGATACACCTAGGTTGGCTAGGGAAGGCTGCTGCAGGTAAACAAATCACACCATGCAAACACTACATTCAGAATTCCCACACTTTATGACCAATGGATTTCTATTATCCATGTTTGTTTATAAAAATCATTTTGCTGACATTGCACTCACAAATAGTAATTTATAACCAAATAAATACTTTAGAAATGTCTGTTTCTGTCTAGAAAGATTTCCTTGACATTTTATTAACTTTATTAATTTCCAGGACTTCACCAGGCCTGGAAATCACACTTGTGAAATTCTCTCATATTATCAAGTTTTCCCAGGATGATCTGAGGGAACCCTTGGGTATTCATATAGATCCATCCCTAATCCAAAAATACAAGTATTGGTATACTTAACCACAAAATTAGATATTATTTAAGGCAAGACGCTTCAGGCAAAACCATTGTTTTTTCATCCACTGATCTATTTTGAGGTTTTGGGCTCTTTTGCTTCCATAACGCAACTTCTTCCAGATTAGTGGAAAGAAAACATCCTAAATGCACATTAAGTTTTTATTTTTTGACATTTTATTTATTTGTGCTTGTAGATTTCAATTGCAATACATATCTGTAAAGGCTGTTTTCTCAAAATAAGTTTTTCTCATGCACTGAGCCATAAATCTCCACTTCAACAGCGCTTACATACACCAACTTGATGCCTTATTTGCATTTTTTAAACATAATATTTATATATAAAACTTACAAAACAACTGTTTTAATGTACTGTGAACTGGCAAAAGCATGGCGATATCTAAGGAACCTTTGATTGCCTTACATTCTTTTAAAGCTGTTTTCCTTACAAAGACATTCATCAGTTTTAGTATTCTTCTAATATTTTATGATAAAAGGGTGAAAAACTATAGGATAAAATGAATAGGATACATTTTTGTCCCTGTAAGAATAGCAAAACTTACTCATACTAATACACACACATAGACTTAAAGGGGTCATATGTTGTTGCTAAAAATAACATTCTTTTGTGTATTTGGTGTAATGAAATGTGTTTATGCGGTTTAAGGTAAAAAAAAAAAAAGCACATTATTTTCCACATACTGTACATTATTGTTTCTCCTCTATGCCCCGCCTTTCTGAAATGTGTTGATTTTTACAAAGCTCATCGATCTGAAAAGTGAGGTGTGCTGTGATTGGCCAGCTGTCCAGTGTGTTGTGATTGGCCGAATACCTCAAGCGTGTGACGGAAATGTTACGCCCCTCACCATACTGTGATGCCCTGTCCGACCGGTCTGAACCCGGCATTAGGTAAGCGTGGTTGACTCTTAACTGTTATAAAGAATATCTCTTTGGATTTGAGACTTTAGTCTTTGCAACTTTACAGATCTTCTTTATGCACCAAGAGCTTGTAACACTTCAAAAAAGAAAGGAAAAATTAAAATCGCATCATATGACCCCTTTAAAGGGGTCATCGGATGCCCATTTTCCACAAGTTGATATGATTCTTTAGGGTCTTAATGAAAAGTCTGTAACATAGTTTGGTTATAATTTCTGAATGGTAGTGTAAAAACAACTTTTTTTTACCCTGTCAAAAACAGCTCTTTTCAGATCAAGCCGGTTTTGTAGCATTTTCCTTTAAATGTTAATGAGCTCTGCTGACCCCGCCCCTCTCTTCCGAGCTGCTCTCAAGAGAGACTGTTTACTTTAGCCGCATTCATCGTGAGACTTGCTAATTAGCACATTATTAGGAAAGGCGATTTGCAAAGATTCATTAAAAAACTACTCACTTCTTCTGTAGGTGAAGCTGGATGACGAATGATTTGCGTAAACATAGACGCATTTATGTAGATCGGGGGCGCATTCCCTTCAAAAACAAATGTAATCCACTGCGTCTTCAGCGGCTCAGATGTCGGGAGTAAATGGCGACCGCTATGTTCATTATTATGTCCAACAACAGAACACCTCAATCGCTTAGGAGTCATTCTTGTCTACATCTGCTCCGGCAGTGAAACAATGGCGGACTGATGACGGCTCACTCAGGGCGGGTCTAAGGTAAGACACCAGTCCAGTCTGTGCTGAAACACTACTGTCAATCAAACTATCGTGGGAGGGGCCTGTCTGAGTGACGTCACACAGACAGGCATCTGAGATGCTCATTTTGAGAAAGGGGTAAAGATTTTAGTAGATTAAAAAAAAAACACTGCGTGGATTTTTATCATTATAGGGTGGTTGTGGGTAACACTTTATTTCGATAGTCCACTTTAGACATTCTATTAACAGTAAGTAACTTTCCAACTACACGTCAACTAGCAGTTAGTAGAGTATTAGTAGACTGTCTGCTTAATATCTTCTAACACTTTCTTTGTCACCTTATTCTACTAACCCTAAACCTACCCTAACAGTCTACTCTGAGAGTTAGTAGACATGTAGTTGCAAATTAATGAGAATTAGTTGACATGTAGTTGACATGTAATTACAAAGTTACTTACAGTTAGTAGAATGTCTAAAGTGGACTATCGAAATAAAGTGTAACCTGGTTAGGTTACAACCCACATTTCAGTTCAAACAACTTGTAAAAATGCATGTAGCATCCTATGACCCCTTTAAGAATATATACATTCAGGGTTGTACCAGAACCCATAAATTGAAGTGCCAGTACCGTTGGTATCAGGATGTTCAGTAACAGAACAGTATGTTATGTTCAGGTGCTAGTTAGTATAATAACAGTGCTTCACTCACCTTTGGCTCGATGGTCTTCTTCTTTAGGACACTTTCCGCCCTCCCACCATCGACGCTTTAGGACTTCTAATCTGTTGTTTTCTTGCAGCTGCAGTATGCCTAATGTGATCTCATCTCTGAATGGTGAACCTGCAAGAGAGAGAATGAAATTGGCTAGTTTAGCTGGTTAGTCAACTAGACTCCCAGGGTTACCAGCTGACAGGTGGTAACCCCAAAACCAATCTAAAATTTTGGCAAGGCTGGGAAACTAGCTAACTACCTTATGATTAGTTACAGAGAGGATAAGCGATGCTATGTTAATATTAGCACTGATACACAAAAAGTAAAGAGTTTTTGGCCTTTTGGACACCTTTAGTGACAGGGACATTTATAGGAAATGAGCCAAACCAGTGTTGCCCTCATTAGCATTCTGGTTTAAAGTGTCAGAACACATACGCTAAACTGCTAAGACATGACTGAGTATGTCTTAAGTCAACTAATGTTGTGCAAATTAGTTAAATTAGCCAGTGTCAGAATGAAAATGAATGTTATGATAGGTTAATTCCAAATTATTTGACTTGTTAGAATAACATCACCCTTCATTAAACATTACTGTATCACAGCTAATCATGTCACACTAATAACGATGTAACGTGAAAGGATGTGTTCATCAAATTAAAAGATGTTAATTCAAATTAAACACTGCAGATATATTCACTGGAATGGATCAGCTGTCACTGAATGTTAGTTTATTTTTCATTCAAAGGCTGTGAAAGTGAAGTACCTTACAGGTGCATGTTTTTGCACCCCAGTATAATAAGCACAAAACATTTATTTCATGTGTCAATATCACTTACATCAAGCCCTGTGTTTAAAGTTGCAATTTTCTCATGTCATGTAAGCTAAGAAATATGCAAGCTTTCAAAAACTCTTTGCTTTCTTACCAACCTCTTTAGAAAAAAAAACCTGCCTGTGGTGTTGCTTCTTGCATGTTTTGCACTATTTTCAAAAGTGAGATGTCCAGTGAGTGGTGCTTAAAAAGCATGTTCAGTTTTATCCAAAATGTTTGCTGAAGCAACCATGCCATTTTAGCTTGCTTCTGCAAGTCTTTGAGCTGTTCCATTGTGACGTGTATCACAGGACTCGTACCCGAGTGCTCTGCATCGCTGAACCAGGTGAGCTAGCAAGCAAGTTTACATCAGAAAAACCATATGAAGCTGATTATGTGATGCAAACTTCAAAATGTATTGGCTTACAAATCATGCAATATGGTAAACCTGTTTTGAGGTCAAAACATAATATTGTGCAAGGTTATTTTTAATTGATAATCTGCCCCTGTAATAGACATTTGTGTGAAAAGAATAAAGAATTGTGGAGTTTTCCACCAGTGTTCATTTCAGCTGGAATCTGCAGTGGATTGTTATTTATAGGTATGTTTTTTTTAGTAGGTAGAGGCAAGTTTTTCCAATGAGCTTATGTCATTGCTAACCTTACTGTTTTATATCTTATAAAATTGTTTGCAAATACCTATATTTGTTAACTAGAATAAAGCTGGAATTTAAAACAGCATGGTTTTGAAAGGCCACCAACTGGATATTGCATTGCTTGGTTGTAATTACATTCTAAGCTTGTTATCTCAGGTTATAATGAATTTCTTTCACCTTCCAGTACTGAAATGTTTTGAGAAGTTTAAATATTTTTTTTTAAATGACCCGACTGAACCTGAACCTCACCATTGAACCCGACTATTCACCACACAAGCACATACAGTACATTAAACATGAAAAGGTATTCACAAACAATTTTACTACCGTAATGTGATGTTTTTTTGACTGAAATAGAATAATAAGTTAATGCATAGGTACCTTTAACTAAAAATGAAGAACTCTATCTATCTATCTATCTATCTACCTAGATTTAAGTATCTAATATAAAGTAACATAAATGAAATTACCAATATATTTAAAATAATATTATACTACATCAATAAATGCTTTAAAATGTTTTTTTCATAGTTTATGTAACTAGTCTTTAACAAATTGAACCTAATTGTGAGGTGTTACAGAAGGAAGACATTAGTACGGGTGTGAAAGAGTAATCAACTAACTAGTCACTTAAAAGGTCAACTCTGATTTCATGTTTTACAGTCTAAGCCAGTCTAAGGACTCAGTGGTGACACCATCTGCACTCCAGGTTGCTATGGAAGCAGATGGAGGGTGTCCATGGTGACCAGCTTCTTCATGAATGAGTGGATGAGAGAATTTTATCACTTGGCACCAGAACTTTGGAAGGCGACCTGAAGAGATGAGTTAGAACCAGGAGGAGGGAATGAATGTTTGAGCTCCTGGAAGACATTCTATGACCTGGAGATAGTCTTTGAAGACGGATGCTGCTCCTGGGTTCTCATTTCAAATCTAGTTACGGGATCATGCGATTACAAGCATATGGTGATATTTCGGAGGACAGTTTAGGCTAGTGGTCATGAGGTTGTTGGATTGATCTTCCTGGAGGACACAAGATCAAAAACCGCAAGCAGCACAGGCAATTTCCTCACCGCATCTATTCACCTACTGTAGGTACAAGTTCCCCACTGATGTTTGGGAGTATTCATAAGCATTCCTGTGTCATATATCCTGTCTCTTACTCATACTCTCATAATCTTCTCTGCTAAAACAAGACTGTCCTCATTCCTTCTCCTTAACATTTTGGAGCCATCATTTCTTTTTCAAGTGACCAAAAACCAATGTTTTTGTTTTTATTCTTCATGCATCATGGGAGTCAATGGCAGCCCATATAACTGTATTGGCACACTGGGCAGGTTCATAAGGGATGGTTCACCCAAAAATTTAAATTCTGCCATCATTTACTCACCCTCCACTTGTTCCAAATCTGCATGAGTTTCTTTCCTCTGCTGAACACAAAAGAAGATATTTTGAAGAATGGTTGGCGGTTGATGGTAATCACTGACTTCCATAGTTTATTTTTTTTGCCATACTATGGAAGTCTGGCTACCATCAACTGTTTAAGAACATTCTTCAAAATATATTTTTTTGTGTTCAACAGAAGAAAGAAACTCATACCTTTTCAGAACAACTTAAAACGTAAGTAAATGACAGAATTTTAATTTTTCCATGAACTATCCCTTTAATTCAATTCAATTCAAGTTTATTTGTACAGCGCTTTTCACAATGCAAATCATTGCAAAGCAGCTTTACAGAAAAATAAAGTTTCTACATTATATTTACTATCCAAACTCTCGGCCTCGCAAACTCTTTAGTGCCCTTTAGTGCTCTTTAACACCAACAGTTTTTAGAAAAAATCTTTGGACCGAATGGTTTGGAAATCAGTGTTGTAATTGTTAACTAAAAGCTTCAAACAATTTGAAAGAATTGTTGTTTGCTGAAATAAAGCTTAAATTAAACAAAATATAAATATTAGATGAAAAAAAAACAATTTAAATGAAAATTAGAAATGTTGCCTTTGCAACCAATTGAAATAAATTAAGTTTAATTTGACGTACTTAAATTACTAAAACTGAAATTAATATAAACGAAACTAAAAGGATATATAGAAATATAAAAAAATATATTAAAATGACAAAAGCTCATAACACATTTTTAAAAACTTAAAACTTTACAGATCTTCTTTATGCACCAAGAGCTTGTAACACTCCAAAGAGAAAGGAAAAACTGAAATCGCATCATATGACCCCTTTAAAATAAAAACTAAAAATATAAAAAGAAAAGTTCATTCAAAATACTATAAAATTATTAAAATAATATGAAAATAACATTTTCACATGTTGGACATGCACTGCTCATGTATTTTATTGCTTTATTGCTCGCAGTGTTTTCATTTTCTGTCCAATTAAATTTTCCACCATTTTAATTCATTCTACAGGTTTCATCAGATTTCATCAGAAAACTCACAGTCCATGTCAGCAAAGAGCTATTAAAAGGTTTCTGATATACTACACTGTTCAAGTGTAACACGTCAAAGACATGAAACAATTCTTTACAAACCTTAGAGACATTAAACTTGATGTGTTGCTGCCAAGAGCAACAAGAGCATTTGGGGACAGCTCCACCTAGTAGTCAACTACTTTTTTAGCATTTTATTTAATAGTAATTTTCAAAGATTTGCACTTTTCCCCCCTCATAAATATAAGTGACCCAAAACACCCTAATAAAATTGCTGGAAAAGAGGACAAACATGAACAGGGGCAAAACTTTAGGCAAAACTTTTGCATATTGTCATGAGGTAAAAAAGATTTTAAAAAGCCATGTTCTTACAAATGCCAAATGTAGCAAATGGGGATCCAATACAGGACAAAAAGCAATATAATTAAGTGATTAACTGTACGGACAACAGTAGAAGCAAAGACATTTTGCATTTCAGAAATTTGCTGATCAGCTTTAAAAGAATGCTGAAAAATTATTAATAAGAATTATTAGCTTGCTTAGACATCTTGGGGAATTGGAGCAGGAGGCCTACTGTGCGAAATCACCACATGACGCCAATAACACTTTTACGGCCTATTTCACTTTCACAGCTGGATGTAAGCTTCTTAAATTTTGACTTGACAAGCCCCTTTGCACTCAAGCCCTTCAACATTTCCAATGCGTACAGTGGCTCAATAGTGACCATTTTCTCACCCAGCCCAATTCTTTGTGATTAAGACCCCACGTTTTCTCTTTTCCAGCCTTCCTCTTTGTAACACCCACTAGCAAGTATTAAAGTCCTCAATGCAAAACACATATGCCATAAATTGTTCCTCTTCTCTCCCTCATATCTCTGTCTGTCAAAGAATAATTGCTGAAAATGCCAAATGTCAAAGACAAAGTCAGAATTGCTATTTATCAAGCGCTGGCAAGCCATCTATCCAGGAGAAAAATTAGACAGAAATGTGCAATATCAGAGCGTGAAGAGATGCTATCATTGTGACAGCGGCTTTCTTGTCTGTGTGATGTTCTCTGGGCCATCATAATGTTTATTTCTGTCAGAAATAAAACACTATTTTACTTTTGGACTTTTTATGGAGAGAATGGAGAGAGAACAAAAAAATATTGGTGAAAAAAGGAGGGAGCGAATTGAGGAAATGTCACAAACCATACTCAAACCCACCATCCACTTGAGCACCACGGCTCAATGTATCAGAGTATGTGTGACGACAGCTATGCCACAACTGGCAAAAAATGTTAGAATGCATTTATCATTTTATTTTATTTATAATACATGTATGTATACTTAAATAAATTATATTTTTCTATTTTATTTATAATAAATAAAATAGTAATTTTTCTATCTTCCACATTTCTTATACTCTTGTGAAGTCAACTAACAAATGTAATTTTAGTTGTCTCTGCACATTAAACTGGGAAAACATAATTAAACAACATTACACAATACATGCAGGAATATATTTGGATGCCAGTGGGTCATGGTTTGACTGGTTAGCATGAGCCAGTAGAACTTAATCAGGTGATTAATTGAATTTAATTAGGATAAAAACGAAGGATAGACTTATAGTCTATCCTAAAAAATACTAATATTAATTAACCACTTTTAATGAACTGATAAGGGTAGATCTTTTACATGTATTCACTGTATGGAAACATACAGTTAACTTACTCTTAGATGTAACATAAAACCCTAATGTACATAACTGATCAGAAAAAACTAAGGAGGAAGAGTTTTTTCAATGGAAAAAACCCCAAAGTGTCACACAGGAAATTCTGGGAATGTCAATTTACGTTTTTCTCACTATAAATTATACAATGACTTATTTGTTTTCACTTCCAAAAACTGTAAATGTAACAGTATTTTACTGTAAATTGGAATAAAATGTAATGTAAGATCTATTACATTTATTCACAATATATAGTAAGGAAAATTACTTTTAGCCAACGAACAGGTTTTTACAGTAGCATTTTTACACTAGTCTTTTAATGTGAAAATCACAAACATTTTTCACAGTGTGTTTAAACGTCCTAGATCATGTCATTTTCACAACTCACAACTTTCTAAACTGTTTTATGAAGGTTTTTCATTTTCATTCCTGTCAAAAACGAATTACGCCGAGACCCTGACCCCTTCTAAAAACACCTTTCTCTATTGAGGCCTATTCAAAAGACGCAATAGAAGCATGTTGCCACCTCAGGGTAAAAATAAAAAGGGCAGTTTTTCTGAGATAAAGTTCAAAATAAGAAATAAAAAGATTTAAGAGTCAAAAATAATTGAGACATTTTCCACCGTTTGCTGCTATTACCACTTAGATGACTAGGAATGATAATGGCTGGCTTTCTTCAGATACTGCATTAAAGACCTCAATGCTGGACACTCAACAGTATTTTCTACTTATATAAGAAGGTTAAAATCAGACTTCAGTTTCTCTTAGGCCATGTCCACACATACACGGGTATTTTTATACCCGTGTATAAAAGTTTTCCTTCTTCCGTTTAAAAAAAAATCACTGTCCACATGAAACCGCAAACGCATGCAATGAAGCACTGTCAAGAGCATGCCAAACCAACAGATGGCGATATAATCTCAACCGTAAAGCCATGTTGGCCAATCAGAAGCCTGAACATTTTTCCAGTAGGCAGAGTTTTTTGCTTGTGACGTCGGAGCCAATGTCACAAACCAAAAATTCCAGTTTCGCTGTCTACACGATAACATTGCAAACCGGAGTTTTTGAAAATCTTCACCCTGCCAGTTTTAAAAAATGTTCGGTTTCAGTGACCTGGTGCTGCGTTTGCGTGTGGACGAACGGCCAAACCGCGTAGAAAAAGCTGCGGTTTTAGAAATAACGTGTGGACAGGGCCTTAAACCTTTAAATCCCATCTGAAGCCTTTCTCTCTCTTTATTTCTTTGACACTTCCCATTCCGCCCCACTCACCCAGAGGCATGCCGATGCCGTAGCCCTTGGTGTCTAACAGGCCTCCAATCTGCGTGAGGTTGCAGTTGAGGCGTCGGTGGTACTCGTTCATGGTGCTTTCCAGAAGAAAGGCGTACTTGGAGTTTAAAACCCGAGCTATGCCCTCCTCCGTGCTCTTCACGAACACACTGGGCTGCTTGGAGTACATGTAATTCCACATGCGCTGGTACGTCTGGTAGCGCGAGTTCTGAGTAGGTTTGTCATCGGCCATGAAAGTCATCAGAAAAGATGGAGAGAGAAACGAGAGGTGAAACAGGAAGGCGTAAATCATATTTGCAGTGACATGAGGACAGGTGAATGAATAAAGAGACATTTTATTGACAGACATTGAGAGTGAACTAGATTAAGGTAACAGATTGAAAGAAAGTGAAAATGTAAGGGAAAGAAAGATGAATAATACATTATTAATGTAATGGGGACGTGAACTTGGCCGCCAGTGTGAATATGGATGTGGCTGTGAGTCACTAGGCCAACTGCTTACTGCCATAAACAGGACATGATGCATTATGACATGAGTCAAAGCACATGCACAGACTAGTCTATTAGTTTTACCTCTAATTAAAGGGTTTGTTTCGACTATTTGTGTATCACATGACTTTATCTGTGCTTATTGTATATGTGGTGACAACATTTCGGTTTGGCTTTTCAGCCCATATTTTATATTAATTACATAAGGTAATTAATTGACCCGCAGACTAGTTAACTACTTTTCTAGGCAATTAGATAAAATGAGTAGTTAAGAAAGCTGTATTGTGAACGGATCTATGAGCATGCATATATTACTTATATTATATATTATTCATAATAAATATTATTAATTAAAAAAATTGTATATTATTATTATTTTATAAGTATTAATATTTATTAGTAGTAATAAATTAGTAATAAAAATGTGTAATATTTAAACTACCATTCAAAGGTTTGGGATCAGTAATTTTTTTTTTTTAAAGAAATTAATGATTTTATTTAGCAAGGATGCATTAAATCAATCAAAAGTGACATTTATAATGTCACAAAAGATTTCTATTTCAAATAAATGTTCTTTTTAACTTTCTATTGATCAAATAATCTAGAAAAAATTCTCATGGCTTCCAAAAATATTAAGCAGCACAACTGTTTTAAGCATTGATGTTAATAAGAAATGTTTCTTGAGCAGCAGATCAGCATATTAGAATGATTTCTGAAAGATCATGTGACACTGAAGACTGGAGTAATGATGCTGAAAATTTAGCTTTGCATTACAGGAATAAATTACATATTAAAATATATTAAAATAGAAAACAGGTATTTTAAATTATAATATTATTACTGTTTTTACTGTATTTTTAATTCAAAATAAAAAGAGCATGAGACTTCTTTCAAAAACATGAAAAAAAAAATATAAAAAGCCCCACAGTTTTAAATAGTACTGTATAAATTTTGTCAGTATTATTAATACAAAACTTAATATTAACATTATATTAACTTAACATTAACATTATTGAATATTCATATATGCAAGCGTTGGGGCATGTGTAGAATTTTATGAATGAACGGTGTTTCAGTTCTGCAGAAATCTAAAGCGTTTAGTGAAATTCAGCCGGCAGATTCTATGTGGGCCTGGATGTGAGTCACTATTCCAACTGCTGCCATAAACAGGAAGTGATGCATTATGACATCACATGTGCACACATGGTAGGTCAGTGAAACAAATCACACACACACACACATGATTTCACACAAGCAAGCACATACGTACCATGAAGAAGGTCATAGTACTTCCTCCTTGAATAGTCCCATACTGGATGTTTGTCTGATCGGCCAAGTCGTCAGCAGATTCGATTGGCACCTCCATCCTCTGGACCGTCAGAAAAGCTGCAAGGTTCGCCGTGTAGGAGGAAATGATGATCAGTGTGAATGCCCACCTGTTTCATACACACAGAAACATGAGTGTGTACATTAGAGACATATGTTTGCATTAGATATATCTGTGTGCAGATATGCTGACACATTTAAACATCATTCAATGAAATACGAAAAACACAGCTGCAATGTCAACCAGAACAACCTGCTTTGATGAAATGCAAAATAGCAGGCTATAAAAAAAACGATCAATAAATAGTGTTTGCAAACTCTGTGGAATTATCTGTAATGGGAATGAATTAAAGGAGTAGTTCACTTCTAGAATGAAAATTCTGTCATCGTTTACTCACCCTCCACTTATTCCAAACCTGTAGGACAAAAAAGTACATTGATGGAAGTCAACGGTGCCCATCAACGGTTCGGATACTAACATTTTTCAAAATATCTTCTTTTGTGTTCAAAAGAAGAAAGAAAAGGGTGAGTAAATGATGACAGAATTTTCATTCGTGAACTACTCCTGAAAAATCAAACAAATAAGCCAAAAATATGAACACATTAACCAATACATTTAGATGTTCCAACCATCCTCATTCCAAAAATGAGGCCATTCCATGTTTAAGTGGGTAAACTGTGTTCTGGAACACTGTTAACCAACTCAAGTAGTTCCCCACCAGAGTCAGTGAGGTCTACTAGCTCTGACCAGGTTGACCTACTAGTATGTGGTCCAGTTGGTCAGCCATCTAAACTTTGCTTGGACCAGATAGAAAACAAGCCATGCTCTTAGTCTTGTGCACAAATCATCTGTGTGATATTACAACACACACATGCACACATGCACGCACACTCACACACACACACACACACGCGCGCACGCACACACCTTTTTTCAAACAGAATATTCTGGAATATTATAAATGTCTTTACTGTCACTTTTGATCACTTTAATGCATCCTTGCTGCATAAAAGTAATGATTTCTTTAAAAAAAAAAAAAAAAGAATCTCAGAATTTTCCTGAGAAAAAAAGAATGCATTCTTTGTGGTTACAAATGCTGATTTATGTTGTCTAAGTAGAAATTTCCAGTAGGAAGTTGGAGAGCCCTTCTCAACACAAGCATGGAGCTCTTCACCGCAATGAATCATGGCCAGATGAAAGAAATCTCCTGAGGTCCTCAGAGAAAGAGCTTTCATGACACTGGTGAAGCATTTGAAACTTTTCTAAAGAGACTGGCCTCCAAAAATACACAAACAGGCAGATTAGTAACTTGTCATTTAATAAAAGCTCTTTATCAAAAATGAAAGTACACCAATTGCAGACATACGTCCCCCAGAGCGTCATGGAGTCACAGCAGAGATAGACACCAGATCTCTGCTTTCTGGGTCACCCCTGTGTGGGATTAGAGTTGCATCTATTGTGTTTATTCACACTACAGATGATTAAACATTCGGCTTCCACTGATTGAATCATTTCAGTTCCATTGTTACTCTTCCTAAAAGTGGTTGTTCCACTTAAATGACCTCAACAGCAAGGCACAGGACAGAAACTGAAGAGATGGAACAGAAGACAGCTTGACTTGATAGCAGAAAGAGCAAAATGAACTGAAAGCTACATGATTCGAGGTGGGAGACTAATCTAGAAATCAAAAATGTCAACAATTCTGTGTTTTTCTGTCAATATGGGGTGCTGTGTGTACATTAATGAGGAAAAAAAAATTAACTTAAATGATTTTAGCAAATGGCTGCAATATAACAAAGAGTGAAAAATTTAAGGGGGTCTGAATACTTTCCGTACCCACTGTATGTCGGCACACAAAACAAACATGCCCAAACAAGCTTTCAGTAAGTGAGAAAAGACACACTCTTAATGGTCTCTTTACACAGAGAACAGATTTTCAGATGTTAAATTGAAATAATGCATCCCCATGTGTGAAAATCTGCCCTGCAGAACAATTTCACACCAAGTAGGTGATTTTTTGTTTGCTTTGCCAAAAAAACAAAAAACAAACTCCTACCAACACATAAGATATGTGCGATTATTCCGTTAGAAGTGCTTGACATGAAATCTTGAAAAATGCAATTTCTTCCAAATATATTTTATTTATGTTTAAACATGTTCTGAGATAAAGAGCTGATCTTGGTGTTGATCAACACTGAAGTAGATTTTGGTAATTTGTATGTGTGGATTTGTTAATTTGTGCTGGCTAACACCAGACAGCAGATTCAGGAAATTCTAACCATTTAAGAATCATATTCTAACATTAGAAAAACCGATTAAAGAGAAACAATACAAAATATAATGCTATAATAATCTTCCTTTAAAATGAGGATTGCCTTCTAAAAATCATTATACATTTTTTTTCATTTAAAATCATTATTATGGGCACAGAAATGTTCAAGAAACTGAATAATCCCCCTCAGTGTTATTTTAGTATTATTTATAAACTATTATAGTATTTATTATTATTTTGAATTCGCTTTTAATTTTATATTTTATTTAACTTTTTTTAATTTTTACTTTAAGTTTTAGTAATTTATGTGCTTTTATATATATTACATAGAAAAAATATATATGTATAGTGCATCTATTTTCTTTTTATATATTAAAAAAAAAAAATTTCAGGTAGTTTAATTTGAACATTTCTCATTTTCAAAGTCTAAAGTTTAAGGTATTTTTTAATAAAATCTTTATATTTTATTTTATTTCTAATTAATTTCAGTTACCGAAAACAGTTACTAATAGTTTTAGTTTGAAGGTTGGAATATTCTACACAGCGTTTAAAATCTGAACAGATTTTAAAACATTACGCATCATATACTTATCAACTTTGGAAATAGTCAGAGCGGAAAAACTGGCCATAAACGACTGAGGATCGCACACTACCAGACTTTAAAGTCGTTCAGATCACAACACACTCGTGAAACGTGTGCCTTGTTGCTAGGAGACGCTTGACAAATGAAAATGTGTGTTCTAAAATCAGCTCAAAATATCAAACATGTTTGATCTCCTCAGACTGAATGGAATCATTGTCTGAAGCTAAAAAAAATCAGAGTCTGTAACCATCATACACTACGTGATTTTCTATTAAATCTGTCAACTGGCTCTGACTTTAAGCAACTAGTGTCAACTTCTCCAGACTGTAAAACCTGTAGTGTACATCAGCCTTTAGTTAAAAAGCTGTCACCCATATAAGCTTTTGGATCGTGTGTGCAGAACCAGCTGGTGTCGATACTGATATTGCACTCAGTGTGAAGGAGTGTCTTTAATACTCACACACACACACACATTTACTGCATGGTCTCTTACACCTCCATGGAAGTGCGAAACATCGCCACACTCACCAAACGCCGCTGACACAGCGTGTGGACAGAGCCCGGGGCATGATCTCTGAGCCCTGCTGCATGAAACCACCGATTGGAAACCACAGGCTGTTCCCCAGTGTGTACTGATTCTCCAGCAGGTCGCTGCGGTCCCGCCAACACGGGAAGGGATTGTACCACTCGTACGGACTCAGTCTGATGGAGGGAGGGAAAGAAACAAAGAAGCAGAGTACTGTTACTTCTGGAAGAACACTGGACTGTGAATATAATGATATTCAAAATAGATGTGTGTGTATTGAGTGACAGTGTGGTACCTGGCAGCCAGGAAGAGCACACAGCTAACGGCCAGATAGGCTAAAAGCATGAATAGCCAGACAGCTGGCGAAAAGGGATCCAAGAAGGAGAAATAACCTGGCTTCCTGCCCTGTAGAAAGCACATAAATAATTCAAACAATGCTTTTTCCACTCCTACAGACAGAGACTCTCCAAACAGTTGAAAGCTTTTCCTGATACAATTGCTGTTTGTTGTTCTGTTTAGTGCATGCGTTCATACGAAGAGGTAAAAGTTTGGTTTTGATACGGACAAAATATTATGAACAATTTTTCATGTATTCAATTATGCATTATGCATCAGGCAGGCGCTTGTATCCGAAGCACCTTACAAGCACCTTCTCAGGGAACTGATGCCGTTATACTCTCATCATGGTTTACTGTTTGAGCTACAGGAATGCAAGATTTTCATGCAAGAAATGTTAAAGGGGTCATCGGATGCCCATTTTCCACAAGTTGATATGATTCTTTAGGGTCTTAATGAAAAGTCTGTAACATAGTTTGGTTAAAATTTCTCGATGGTAGTGTAAAAAACACCTTTTTTACCCTGTCAAAAACAGCTCTTTTCAGATCAAGCCATTTTGTAGCACTTTCCTTTAAATGTTAATGAGCTCTGCTGACCCCGCCCCCTCTTCCGAGCCGCTCTCTGAGGGACTGTTTACTTTAGCCGCATTCATCATGAACCTTGCTAATTAGCACATTATTAGGAAAGGCGATTTGCAAAGATTCATTAAAAAACTACTCACTTCTTCTGTAGATGAAGCTGGATCATGAATGAATGGCTACCATTACTAATTCAGACAAGCGGTTCAGTACGTCCCATAGGAATTATCTGGAGGTTTCCACAAATGGTATTTTCCGTATATTTTCAGATTTTACTATAGGGTCAAAAGTGGTCAAAATGTATTGGATATTTTTCCTATGTGCTCTGGCTGTTTTATTTGATTTTCTTTAAAGATTTTTTTTTAATTATGCAGTAACATGATTAAAAATCAACACTGTTAATAATCATTGAAAAATATTAACAATAACACAGTTAACAATAACAATTAAAAAAAGAAGTTAACATTAACAGTAATATTAATAATAATAACAACAACACTAATAATTATAATAGTAGTAGTGTTGTTATTGTTATTATTAATGTTTGCTTATTATTATTATTTTAATAAATTATTATTATTATTATAAATGTTTTTGAAATGTTTTGAGAGAAAATTAATACATAATAATAATAAATATTTGTAATAATAAACATTTATAATTGTTCTTATTATTACAATTATTATTAATACAGTTTACTTGTTTTACTTTTATTGTTATTAGTCTAAATAATAATAATAATCATACTCATATTATTATAAATGTTATTTACATGTTTCGTGAGAAAATAACACAAATTAATAATAATAATATTATTATTATTATTATTATAAATGTTCTTGACAGCTTGTGTGATATTGATCCAAGAATACTATATATCCAAGGATAATATATTACGTGTTTAAACATTTATTTTTCTTTTATTAAATGGAACTTTACTGTCTGAGCAATTAGTTGAATTAAATAATTTCCAATATATAAAAACCAATATAGTAAAGTCACAATTCAGTATATTAAAGATGCGTCTTACTATGTGGACGCGGTACAGGATACTGATGCCAAGGTTCATGAAAGGTTTGGAGAAATCGATGACCTTCTCCCTCTCCGATGTGATGGTAAATCCAGCCACTGCCAGATCTGCTTTCTGTAACAAACAGAGAAAAAGAGAGAATCAGCATAACTAGTTTGATATAGTGCACTCTGATACAACAGCCGTTTCTACGGTAGCAGAGAAGTGCAAAACAAATCATAATTCTGAAAACAAAATAACAAATTACAAACGCAAATGCAAGTCTAAAAAGCAAAACAACAATTCAGAAAACATTATAACAAGTCAGAAATTGCCCTTACTGTGGAATAAAAAATACGGGATGTCTATTTACATTTAGTTAAAAGTGGCTGTAAATCATCAGCTCCAGTGGTGCATATGGATAAGTGCGTGTTGTTGTTCCTAACCCTACCCGATACTTTATTTTCAACTTTTTGATTATTTCCTTAATTTTCATTGAAAATAAATGCCTTTACGATGTGATACGAGATTTGAAAAGGGAGAAAAAAAAAGTTCGGCAAAAGGCGGGATCGAACCCTGGTCGATCACGTCAAAAAGCCAACAACAAGCAATTATCCATCTGCACCACTGGAGCTGATGCTTTACAGCCACTTTTAACTAAATGTAAATATACACTCCGTATTTTTTATTCCATAGTAAGGGCAGTTCATAAAATACATTTAAACTGAGCTACTTTAATAACATCTCTGAACTTTCTACCTCGACTCTGCTGTTCTTCGGCTGGTTCTTCCTGTATACGTTGATTGACAGATGTCTCGTCCAGTCAGCGGTGAGTAATCCCAAACCAATGGTGCTGTCTCAAACTATACCAACCTCTTCCGGTTTGTCTGATTTGTCGTTGTGTTTTCTGACTTATTTTGTTTTCGAATTTGTCATTGTGTTTTCTGATTTGTTATAATGTTATTTTGTTTTTTAGACTTGCATTTGCATTTGTAATTTGTTATTTTGTTTTCAGAATTGTGATTTGCTTTGCACTTCTCGGCCACCATACGTTTCTGATTATACTGACACACATTTGAATGCAGCATCACGCAAACACATTAAAACCAATGCTATTGCAGAAATTACATTTGCAAAGATATTCGTCACCCATGATGTCTAATAACAGGGAGTTTGTTGGGATAAAGTAGCACACAGATGACCTCAAACAGACTACTGCAAAAGACACAAAAGCCTATTCTATAGAATTTGATTTAACACTAAATTAAGTGCTCTATTCATAGATCAGCTTATACAAAAAGCTTTGAAGAAATGGCTGAAGTCTTGCTGTGCAAAATCAGGCATACATGTACTTCCTCTATATCGGCTGGTTCTTCCTGTATACGTTGATTGACAGATGTCTCGTCCAGTCAGCGGTGAGTAATCCCAAACCAATGGTGCTGTCTCAAACTATACCAACCTCTTCCGGTTTGTCTGATTTGTCGTTGTGTTTTCTGACTTATTTTGTTTTCGAATTTGTCATTGTGTTTTCTGATTTGTTATAATGTTATTTTGTTTTTTAGACTTGCATTTGCATTTGTAATTTGTTATTTTGTTTTCAGAATTGTGATTTGCTTTGCACTTCTCGGCCACCATACGTTTCTGATTATACTGACACACGTTTGAATGCAGCATCATGCAAACACATTAAAACCAATGCTATTGCAGAAATTACATTTGCAAAGATATTCGTCACCCATGATGTCTAATAACAGGGAGTTTGTTGGGATAAAGTAGCACACAGATGACCTCAAACAGACTACTGCAAAAGACACAAAAGCCTATTCTGAATTTGATTTAACACTAAATTAAGTGCTTTATTCATAGATCAGCTTATACAAAAAGCTTTGAAGAAATGGCTGAAGTCTTGCTGTGCAAAATCAGGCATACATGTACTTCCTCTATAATTTGAAACCAATTAAATTGAGCGACTTTCAGTCACCGAAACGTTTTAAAGACTAAATTCACATTAAAAAGTATTATAAAAAATGACCTAAAATAAACCTGATGGATTTCCGGTTCACCTACAAGTACGCTTCAGGGTTCATACCACACTGAGTTTGACTGAATTTACTCAGTTTTACTGACAGATACTAACTACCAACCCTCTCAGTTGTGGTGATAATTTAGTGATGTTGCTAAGCACTCATTAGCATACCGCTAAACATTGACCTTGGTATCAAATAGCACTCAAGAAGAAAAGCATTTGACATTATCAGAGCTTCACTCATGAAGACAAGAAGTGGCAGAGAAAAGAAAAAGGATATTTAGCGCAAGGAGAAAGAGCAAAGAGATGGACGAAGAACTGAAAAGGGGAAAGTCAAGGCTGGACAGCTGGATGGATGAATGGACAGATAATAAAAGGATGTAAGTGCACTGGAAGAAGCCTGGGTTGATGGAAGAATTCGATATGAGAGTCCTTGGGTAAAAGGAAAGAGATTTATTTATTACAGGGAAGGAGAGAGATAGAAAAACAGGGCTAAAGAGTACAATACAGCCCTAAGAAAACAGAAAGAGCGAGGGGGAGAAATAAAGCGACGGTCCTTGAGAGAAGAAACAGATACAGAAGCAGCGATGAGGAATGGTTAAGAACAGAGAGATGGTAAAGACAGGCTTCCAGCGAGGACACAGGGAATATTGTGCCCTTGAGAGATGAAGGGAGCACGGGATACGCATGAAAAATAAAGGGGGAAAGAATAAAAAAGCACTAGAGTGAAAGTTCCTGAGGAAGGAAAAGAACAATAATGAATAAAAAAATCCACTGTGGCATTATTTTGCCCTTTTTCTTTCCTTCCTCGAGGAGGAGGGGGTGACAGTGTTAGAGTAACTAATTAAAAGTAGTGAGGCTACTAACTTAACTGCATTTTTCAGTAGTGTGGCAGTAGATGAACTGTTTCTATTTTTCTTCCAAGGTGCAGTTTAGAAAAAAATGGTACATATTGTTTTCAACATTGTACTTCACATAGAGCTTTAGAGTCAAACAAACACTGGAAAATCTGGAGTCTCACAAGTTTCACTTAGTAAATCAGTTCATAAAATAATAATAATAATAATTTGTTTATTATTATTAAGTTTTATGTTTACACACACACACCCATATATGTGACCATGGATTTTTTTTTTTTTATTGATCTATTGAAATACTGAAATCCTCATTATTTTTGAGCCAATTTATTTTTAAACCATGACTTCTGGCCAAAATATTATAACGTTTCCTCCAGTGAAAAAGTCCTTCTTCTGTTGTCCTCTCACATCAAAATCCATCCACATATTTGTTTTCAACTGTTTTGTACTGGTTTCACTTGGTAACAGTGCTTGATCTGTGCATATTTCTCTCCTGATTCAGACAAGGCGACTTTTTCCAGTGGAAAAAGCAATATTATGGATTGTGGACTCGTATTGTAGCCAGAAGCAATGGTTTGAAGTTAAAAACCTCTTAATGATTCTTACAAATATGCATCTTTTAATTTCACAAGACATTAAATGATGGACTGGAGTGGTGTGGATTACTTATGGATTATTGTGATGTTTTTATCAGCTGTTTTGGACTCTCATTCTGACGGCACCCATTCACTGCAGAGCATCCATTGGTGATCAAGTGATACAATGCTAAATTTCTCCAAATCTGTTCTGATGAAGAAACAAACTCATCTGCATCCTGGATGGTCTGAGGATGAGTAAATTGTCGGCAAATTTTCATTTTTGGGTGAACTATTCCTTTAAAAAGCTTTGATACCCCCCCCCCCAAATAACTTTAATGTAATTAACTGCTTTGATCAGAAGCTAATATCTACCTTTGTCAATCTGAACTATTGGAAATCATGAGTAGCTTGTAGTTTGTCAAGTAGAATAGTTTCCCCAACAGTAGAGGCGATCGATATTAGTTTATTCTGCTTAAAAAAAACAAAAAGAACTGTTTCCCCCCCCCCCCCCCCCCAAATAACTTTAATGTAATTAACTGCTTTGATCAGAAGCTAATATCTACCTTTGTCAATCTGAACTATTGGAAATCATGAGTAGCTTGTAGTTTGTCAAGTAGAATAGTTTCCCCAACAGTAGAGGCGATCGATATTAGTTTATTCTGCTTAAAAAAAACAAGTGTACCTCACATATCTCTCAATCTGCTTAATTACTGCCTAATTGATTACTGAGAGATAGCTTTGTAAACCATCAAACGCTGGTGTCAAGCAAGAGCTCAAGTGCGTATCCATGGAGAAAGATGAGTGGTATGTGTGCGCACACAGTTTGCACACACAGTACGTCAACAAGTGCCAACTATACACTGGCAGGAACAGCTGTAATGGTATAGTGCCACAGAATAATTAGACTCAGAATGAACTGATTAGTATGTGTGTGTGTTGGCGTATTTCAAAAGGGCTTTGCCGAGACCTGCCCACACTGGGGTTAATAGAATGACATTACTGCCGCCATTATTTTTAGCATTAGTGCGAATAGCACTAATATCACTAATAGTTACTCTAATGGAAACATCAGCTGGCAAAGGTCCAGTGTGGAAATCCAGCTAGCTGCATTCAAACATATGAACATATAAAAGACATTTTCATAAAAAGCACATTTGTGTTTTAGTTTGGTATAGTCAGGTATATTACATTATTAAACATTTATATATAATATAAACAAAAAAATTAATTATAAATATATTTTATTATATTCCTGTCGCTGCATTTTCATTAAAGCAATACGCCACAAGGAATGTGCATTTTCAATTAGGGCTGTGCAATTAATCACATGTGATTGTCATGCGCATCTCGTCAGTAAAGCCGGTTCCGTGATTAGAAGTAAATCGCCATCACCTGCTTTCAGATGGAGCGGCATTTAATACACAGAGCCATAATTCACTTACAAGCTAGGCAACATCGCGTTCATAATCGAATGTGATTCATCTGCAATTATGAACGTGATATTGCCTAATTGTCAGTGAACTACGGATCTGTGTAGTAAATGCCGCTCCATCTGAAAGCAGGTGATGGCGATTTACTTCTAATCACGGAACCGGCTTTACTGACGAGATGCGCATGACAATTGCATGCGATTAATTGCACAGCCCTATTTTCAATGGAAATAAAAGCAAATAAAGCCCATATTATAAAAGCCCAAGAGTTTCATTGAGGGTCAGCGTGGCTGGAAAGTGTCTCCATTTCTACATAATGTGTCCACAGAGCTTAATTACAGACGTGCGAGCAGGCATGCATACCCTGTTGATGAGTTCCCCCACCATGCCAGTCCATGAGCCATTAGGTTCTGGAGCTCCATACAGCCTGTCATCCACCAGCTTGATCCGGAAGGAAAACTTCAGAATGTCTGCCAGCTCCCGCAGCATATCCACACAGAATCCCTCGTACTGATCGTTACCCCGGAAGTCCTGGTAGTGCGCCTTGCGCTTCACATATGGATCTTCCTATAAAACAGGACGAAGGTAACATTTAACGCTCTAATATTCCACTCTCAATTTCTATACAGTGAAGCGCCATAAACTCAATGAAAGGCAATAGCCATGCAGTTTAAGTGGCATTTTGATTGGTGTTAAGCCATGAAATGGCAGTAAAATCCAATGAAACGGTGCTTCTGTGGCCTTGACATGTGAAAGTTCCTTTTTGGCTGCAGCTTCCTGGTTTGAATGTCTTATATCTTCTACAGTATGATGTCGCCTCTGGATAGTAAACCTGTTTTCTTCATTTTGCAAGCACATGATGCAAATAAGATGGTTAATAATGAAGGGATGCCTTGGTATTCCATGTGGTTGTTTTGATTTGTTTTTCCAAAAAAAACAAAAAACTGAAGAAATATAAACAGTAAAATATTTAAAAACAATTAGAGTCTGATACAGTTTTTATGTTATTAGGAATTGCTTAAATGTGTTTGTTGCCTGGAAGCAACATTGTATGATAGTGGAATGAATAATGATGCAGTGAATGTGGATGCTATCAATGAAGCTTCTATAGAAAATATTGCAACTATCATTATGTTGGTTTAATTTACATTCCACTGTATTATATTTATATAATTTGACATATTTCAGAATGAAATGAGAAAAAATGCAATGCAGTTCTCTGTGCTATCCATCTGGAATTGATAGGCTGCTGAGATGTAGGCATTATATACCAGAATGGAATGAGACTGAAAGCTGGTATAGAAATTATTGCTAAAAACAATGTTTATTAACATCACCTTGGTTAATATCATCCAATAGCCCGAGTTAAAAAATGTGCACTGATGAATTTTCCACAAAAAGACTAAGAAAGAGCATTAAGAAAGAAAATCAAATCAATTTTGATTTTATGTTGATTTTAACATGACTTTAATAATGCATTCGACAGAACAATGTAGGTTTGCCTAAACACCCACCTTGTGATGGCATGAATGAATCTAGTCTTAAAAGGGATATTTCACTCAAAATTAATAATTTTCATCATTCACTCACCCTCCACTTGTTCGAAATCTGTATGAATTTATTTTTTCTGTTGAACTCAAAAGAAGGTATTTTGATAAATGTTGGTAACCAAACTGTTGAAGTCAATGGCTACCAGCAACTGTTTGGTTACCGACATTCTTTTTGTGTTGAACTGAAGAAAGAAACTCATACAGGTTTGGAACAACATGAGGGTGAGTAAATAATGACATAATTTTCATGTTTGGGTGAACTATCCCTTTAATTTATGTTTTGAGATTTTCAAGTTGGAATCTAGAAAGCTCTTACAATCATAAACCCAAGAAACAACATTTTTACACTGTATATGCTCTGTGTAGACAAGCAAGGCTTTTTAATTCTTTCATATCCTCCCTGCTTTAAATAATGCATTACTTTTACAAACATCTATAGAGTCCATAATATCATTTAAGACACCTTAATGCACAATCTCTAAAAAGATTTTGCCTGTTCATGTGCAAGATTTGAACATGAAAAGCTTGTACCAGTGAGTGCCAAATCTGTAAAACCCCTATAATTCACAATTATCTCTGGTTTGAAATTCTCCTGCCAATATACTACCACAAGGCCCACGGAGTCATATCTGGAGAAGTTCTTACCAGTATCGTGGTGACGATGAGCGTCTTGTTAGCTAAAGTCTCAGATGCGTTGATGTCTAAAGACGTGGAGTTCATAGCCAACGTGTTATTGGAGTACCAGACACCGATCTGCACATGTGAAGTAAAAAACAAAAATGCTTTATCTTAATAATAATCTTCAAGAAACGACCTGTTCCACCTTTATATATATATATATATATATATATATATATATACACCTTGCTATGTGTACTGTGTTAGGCTAACCGAGACTTGTCATTTGCACTTATATATTGTTGCTCTTTTGTTAGTTTTGACTGGTTTTATTGTCCTCATTTGTGAGTCGCTTTGGATAAAAGCGTCTGCTAAATGACTAAATAATAATAATAAAAAAATTATAATAACAAAGACTAAGCACAGTTAGGACTACTTTCATGAACAAATCTTCGCTGAAAGAGCTAAATCATATAAAATTATTTGCAACCCATTTAAAAACATGTCTGATCTAGCAGGGGGGAAACCGGCAGGAATAAACGAGTTGAGCGAATAAGACGAGGGGATGAAGGAGAGATAAAAGAGCATGAAGTGAGGGATCAATACTATGATCAATAAGAGAGGAGTGAAGTGGTGATTACTCCAGCTACCACCCATTCATTAGACCTCACAACCTCTCCCGTGATTCTGGATAAAATCCAGAATTAGTGTCCATGAGAATGAGTTTATGTGTGTGTGTGTGTGTGTGTGTGTGTGTGTGTCACTTCTGCTGAAAAAAACATCGTCTTATATTCGGGACAATATGGTATATTTAATAGTGACGTGACATGTGGCCAAGTATGGTAACCCATACTTGGAATTAGTGATCTGCATTTATCCCATCCAAAGTGCACACACACAGCAGTGAACACACACACCGTGAACACACACCCGGAGCAGTGTGTGTGTGTGTGTGTGTGTGTGTGTGTGTGTGTGTGTGTGTGTGTGCGCGTTACCTCTTTGTGACCCCCCTTGAATTTCTCAAGAATACGCAGCGTGTAATTGGTCCTCTGGCCTTTGCTGTTAAACTCCACGCGGCCTGTTAGGCCATCATACTCTATCTAAAATTAAAAAGAGAGAGAGAGATTTAAACCAAGGGTAACAAACAAGAATGACAAATAGCATTAATTTTGACCTATAATATTAAGGAATAGAAATTATGGCGCAGGCGGAGAAAAAGAGAGAGACAGCCAGAGGACAAACTTTGAGATGATTAAGAAAGTTGAGGTGAAGTGTCACTTCTGCTCCACCGGCATCACCAAATGCAATCGCAAAAGTAATGACTGTTTTCATTATTATTGGCAAGGGAGGTAAACACTTGGAGTTATGGAGACAAACCGAGAATGGCAGACGAGAGGAGGTGCCAAATGGAGTGCTGAAATGATGGAGTGATGGACAAACTGCAAAACAGATGAAGGGACACAATGAATGAAAGTGTGCACTAGAAAACACAAACACCATGTAGGATCTCACAGTGTATAATAGCTGCATTAAAATAATAAAATACAAGCAGACCTTCAGACAGGTTGCAATAAACAATGCACATCTGGTGTTAAGGGCACAGTTAATAATTGCTCTGAAACTAATGTCAGTTGTAAAATTACTGTGGCTGGGTTTAATCATCACAGAGGACATAAAAGTCATGCTGCATTGGTCATCATCAGGGCTGTCAATGGACAGGGCAACTAGGAACATTGTCCTGGGCTCCGTGACAAGGGCAGGCCATTAAGCACTCCGGCTACTTGTGAAAAAACGCATTTATTAAAAAAAAATTATCATTGATTTGTTGTATAAATAAAAAGATGTTTTGTGGTTGTAGTAGCATAGCCTATGAGGCCTGTGAATTCAATTCAGCAAGATTCTAATTGAACTTGAATTATATTATAATACTTTTATTAGAATTTTGTGTCATTCAATTTAATTATTCATTTTACATATTTAATTATATACCCTGATTATAAGACGACCCCCCTTTTTCCAGATGTACCTTTTGGAAAAAGGCTTTTTAAAAACCAAATCTTGTTTTTTCTCAGTAAAACACATTTTGTCTTCAGTTATTTTCATATTGCATATTTTTCCTATTTTAATTTTTGTTTTGTAAGTATGGTAAAAACTGGTAAAATGTACCAACAATCACATTTTAAAAAATATACACTTTTTGAACAAAAACAGGTAGCCCATCTGAATTAGGACATTTAGGCTATCCATCTAATAGTAGCCCACCAAAATCTTATTAACAGTAGAAGTTAAATCTTACTGTAGTCTTCAAATCTGGGTACTGTCTTGCATTGTAAAATCACAAAAGGAGTTTGGTCCCATCAGGCTAACGTGACAGTCAAGACTCATACAGCTGTAAGGTTTTCTTTTTCTTTTGTTTTTACTCGCATTACATTACGTATTTCATGGCACACTGGTTTTATGCGTATTTGGCGCCACCTATTATTGTGGGTGTATTATTGACATGTCAAAGTCTAGACCCTGAATATAAGACTACCGCGTTTTTTCAGATGTATTTCCAAGAAAAAAACATCGTCTTATATTCGGGACAATACGGTATATTTAATAGTGACGTGACATGTGGCCAAGTATGGTAACCCATACTCGTAATTAGTGCTCTGCATTTATCCCATCCAAAGTGCACACACACTATGTATATATATATATATATATATATATATATATATATATATATATATATATTTAAGTTGATACATTTGCTGTTGTTATTGCCATTTTCTGCATAGTTTCACAGTGTTTTCTGCATAGCTTCACAGTGCTGAACTGTGCTAAATGTTTCTTGATGATGTTAAATGATGTTCGGCGACACTTAATGCACAATAATGCGTTAGCCAAGGGTTAGATTGAAAAGCAACCGTCATAAACTCTCTGCATCTTGTTTATCGGGCCGCTGCAAAGATTACAAATAATTTTTTTCCATAACATGCACTGATGAACTGTGCGCAACGAGACTGGGATCTAATGTTGAGAAAGTAAATAAGGTCAATTTCAATTTCATGTTGACTTTAACAGAGCCTATAAAAGCCAATAAGCAGCGGCAAGTGGGATCACATCAACATAAAAACCAGATTAAAACAAGGACACTGCTGATTAGGCTTCTAAAGCTCATCAGAGACGACACAAGCATCAAAGTGACATACAGTAACAAAAGCCGTAAAGACTAAACACTAAAGTCATCAAATGCAGCAGTCAGAAAATGGCTGCCAACGGGGTAGCCATGGCGACACGTACCATGCGCAGATAGTTCATGAGACTTGTGCCGTGCTGCCAGATGAGTGAAGACGTGCAACTCAGAGGCTTCACTCCGATCTCCTGACTGCGGTTCAGTTCTCGCACCGCTCCGACCACCACATGCACTGCGTCGAACATCAGTGCAGATGACAACTGTAGGTGGAGAGAGAGCATGAAAGAAATGAGACGAGAGACACGCCGAGGCGAAGATAGAAAGAAAGAAGAAGAAAAAGAGAATAAAGGAAGGCAGAATTGAGAAAGACAGCAAATGAGGTCATTAGGGGGAGAAGGAGACTTCACGTTTGTTACAGCCCTACAGCAACTGTCTTCCTAACAGAGGTTCATAAATTGCGTTGTGTGGCTCACATCCCATTTGGACACATTGGAAAAAGCCTTCTGGCAGAAATAACATCTCATTATTCCATAGATTTAGTAGCTACTATGGTTTACAGTTGGCAGTTTTTCCCCATCTAAGCAAATCTCCGCAAAATGGAATGTCAATCAAATTACTGAAATTATGAAAAGCATTTTTCGATGCAAACGTAACTAAATACATTAGCGTTACTCATATACATCTCCTGACAGATGACGTTTTAATTGCTTGATTTAAAAATGTTAACAAACTCATAACCTCTCACACGTAAAGTAACACAACAGCTTATATACAGGTAGGCTTAATAAAGGACTTGTGTCCTAAAGCTGAATTGCCCCTGATTAATATATTTGTGAGTTGCAATGTTTCTCATATATTATTTTGTTAGAAAGTGAATCATTGTAAGCTCACCGCTGGACCAGGGTAGGGGCTGAGGTCACAACCTTCCCTCCATGACAGATTTAGACTCCTGATGAACTCTAGGTAGAAAGGATGACTGCTGTTCAACATGGAGAAGCCAATGATATTTGACTGATCATCTACCACATCATCCAACCTCAACAGAGGGAAATCCTGAGAGAGAGAGAGAGAGAGATTATAACATCTTTATTTAATACAAAAATCTAATGAAAAGAATACCAAACATACAAATTACTACATTACATTCCCCGTTACAAACCTCACATCAGTTTACTTAAATTCTTCAACAAAAAGCAACGCATCTAGGCTATTTCAGTACAGCACATTTTTTTCTACACTCCAAACCCCTTCAAACCTCCTAGTTTTTCCATATGTGAATAAAAAATCAATTTGTGTTTTATTCTTGCCTTTATAAGCCCTTTAAACAACAATTCAACATTTGTTTTACTGTCATAAACAATTCTATGTTTCCTACTAATGTAGACTTGACCTAAAGTAAAGCTTAACAAAGGTAATTTCTTCTTTTTTGCTTTGCAATATTTAAAAACAAAAACAAAAACACAGGGAAATCCTGAGAGAGAGAGAGAGAGACCAAAGTACTGTGGACATACAATGCTGTGGTTTTGCCATTGAGAAATAGTTTAATTAAACCTTTACCTAACAACTACAAAAGCTAATTCTTGGTTTTGTGTTAAATGAACACTTTTTAGGTCACCATCAGTGGCGCTGACACACAAGTCTGTCTTGGTGCGCATGCACAGTCCTTTCCTCATTACCGAAAACAGGCGCGATGTTCCTTTAATTACAGCGGTATTTAAAAGTATTATTAATATAGTAAAAGTGCTGTAATAGTTTGCCTATTGGAGAGAATATAGTTCATATTTTATTTATTTGCTGGGTTTGTCCCTATTTTACCCAGCACTGGGTTGCATTTAACCCAGCATTTTTTTAGAGTATAGGCTATCATATAGGCTACTGGTGAAAATATGAGAACGGAATTATTGAATATTAATAACTTGTGGTTTTAGACTATTAACACTGCAACACAGTAAAGCTAAGTAGTAAGAGCTCTTAAAAGTAAAATGGAAACATATGTTTGACTTATTTGCAATGCCATCACTGCATTCATCCAGACTGATTTGTCTTATCTTGGCTTATAATGCTATAGTGTGACTTCAACCCTCTGAGATTGCAAACTTAAACATACGTTTAATTTGAAGTAAAATCAAACAAAATTTTCAACCACTTTATTTTTTATAATAAACTTTAATAGCCAATTTAAATACTAATATACTGATTTGAAATCTCTGAAAATCTGGATAGAAATGACAGAAATGGATGCAAGTGACACTCAACATAATAATTTTTTTTTACAGTGCATACAACAGTATAAAACTGTATTACACATGTTTAGTGATTTCATTAATGTGTGTAGAGCTGCACGATTTTTTTTTGTCTCAAATAGAGATCACGATTCTCCCACGATTCTGAACTAAACAAAATAATGTGTGGTAAAATATTATTGCTGCAGTCTATTTAAACGTGTTTAATTAATTTGAATGAAGTATTAACCATTTTAATATACACTACCAGTCAAAAGATTTGTTATGTTTTTTACAGAATTCTCTTCTGCTCACCAAGCCTGCATTTATTTGATACAAAATACAGCAAACGCAGTAATACTGTGAAATATTTTTACTATTTAAAATAACTGCTTTCTATTTGAATATATTTTAAAATGTAATTTATTCTTGTGATAAAAGCTGAATTTTCAGCATCATTACTCCAGTCTTCAGAGTCACATGATCCTTCAGAAATCACTGTAATATGCTGACCTTCTGTTCAAGAAATTTATTATTATTATTATTATCAATATTTAAAACACTTGAGTAAAGTTTTTCAGGATTCTTTGATGAATAGAAAGATCAGCATTCATCTGAAATAAAAAGCTTTTGTAACATTATACACTCATACCATTCAAAAGCTTGGAGTCGGTATTTTTTTTGGGGGGGAGGGGGATTATATAAATTAATACTTTTATTTAGCAAGAATCCTTTCAATTTATCAAACGTGATGATAAATACATTTATAATGTTACAAAATATTTATATTTCAAGATAAATGTTGCTATGAAATCAGAGGAATAAATGACATTTTAAAAATCTATTCAAATAGAAAGTAAAATAATTTCAAAATTGTACTGTTTTTGCTGTACTTTGGATCAAATAAATGCAGGCTTGGTGAGCAGAAGAGACTTCTTTAAAAAACGTAAAAAATCTTTTGACTGGTAGTGTAATATGTATTTAAAATATATTTAATACACCAATTTAATATTCAAATTTTGAAAAAGATGTTTGAATCAATGATTCAACGACTCACTCATAAACCTACTGGTTGAATCAGCGTTTTTGAACGATTCTCTTGAATAAATTATTCATTCAATTATACATTTTTAAGTCACTTTTCACAATAATTAAACAATGCAATCGACACAAACGTTATGTGGCAGTTACTTTCAAACGCGGATTTGCTCTATTTTGGTCGCGCTACCATAGACATCAATGTTTATATCTGAATTATAAACTTTCATCCCAGTATTTCTGGGATATTATGAATGACTGTACAACAGAAATAATATTGTGTAGTTGAAAAGACTGTTTGTGAAGCTGTTTCTTAACCAAACACGCTAACTGCTCTGTGTGTCGGCGGCAGTGCGAACGCAGATTTGAATGATCCGGTAAGACTTTGTCAAAGGTTTAATAGACACGGGAGAATCGTTGTCATTTAGAAATGAGATCGTGTGGTTGTCTGAATCGAGATCGCGATCGCGATCTTTTAACGATTAATCGTGCAGTTCTAAACGTGTGCTTAACTCAAATGCAATATTTACATATCATTCTGAAAAGGTCTATGGGTTTTTAAAATAGCTATATTTGCCTGGCCAGTTAGAGTTTTTGCAAATACCGCTGCTCCCTACGGGATTGGGAAAGCCCTCATCCATAAATAAACAGTAATTTACTGAAGGCAATATTCAACCCAGCTAGAATTCCACTCAACGTAAGTGGTGCCCACTGGGAACGTTCAAGGAAAACATTAAAAATTGGCTCAAATTATTTTAGAAAAGGCATTATTTTAGCAGTCCTTGAGTATCAAGCCTTTCATCTTGTCTATCAAATCAATCAGCTCTTGTGGTTTGTTATTTACTGGCAAGTGGATAATCTCAAGAGGTACAGTAGGCAGTGAGTTTGTCAATGGTAAAGTCGACAAAGACTTTTTTCTATAGTCGTGTAGCAGCAGTAGGAAAGCTATTGGTGAATCCATCACTTGGTGCCCGAGCATAGCAGCTTTTAGATAATTTATCACAAGCCGCTGCCATCTATATGGCAGCTGAAGGAGGATCCAACTCCACCTACTGTATAAAGACACCCATTCCGTTATTCATAAAGAGCTTCCCAATATGTCTACATACTGTATATTGATGCCCAAGAAGATTCCCAACACTTTAAGACCTTCTAGATTTCAGGTGCATTTCAAGTGAAGCCACATGTTCTTGTTCTGTCATTGACCCCTTCAGCAGCATTAGGCCTTTTGATTCCTCCTGAGGATGCTTGACGAAGAGTTTATGAATGGAGGTATGACAGATAACGTTACTGCCTTTGAAGGGCTTGATAAGTATCTTTCATCTTCCCTCTGCTCTCAATTAGATTGCTGACAATGTGAAACTGACAAGAAAATGACCTCATTCAATACGCAGACTTAATTTTAGAGACTGCTACTGAAAGCCATCACTCAACAGCCACCAAAGGATCTAGTATACATTTGCAGTATTGCCTGGAGGTTGTCTGCATTTGTCCCTGTTCGTAGGAAAAAGCTTGCCAACGTCATATTAATAAAAGACTAAGCTTGAATTTGAAAGCTCAAATGAGAGGTTTTAAGATAGAGAGGCAAAAAAAGAAATGGACTGAATTTCATTTTAATCACACTTAATGAAAAATGTACATAGACATTTCATTATGATGCCATAATGATACTTAAAAATGGTGCATTACTAAATGAAACAATCACAATAAAATGTAATTCAGCTCATCTTCTTTCATACTCCTGTATCTTTAGACTTTTTTCGTTGGCACACGCTCAGCTAAATTGCTGACTTCCTGCAGAGTGAGCTCTGGCTCCCTCCCAAATCCAGAAAGAAATAAAAAAAAATGCAAACATCTGTAATCTCTAAATGTTTTCAATATGAAATATTTGCCGTTTACTGAGACCATAAGAACCAATATATTTGGACAGTCTCAAATCTTATCTTCCATGATTCAATTTGCCTCTCAAGGTCAAATGCTTTAGCTACTTCACTTTAACTTGTAACAGTCGTATTAAAATCCTGAGCTCACAACAGAAGCATATGCGACCTCAAAACAATGACATAATCCACCTCATCCACGATGATGATGATAAACGGCATGCATGCGCTGTGCATCAGTGATGAGCTGGTCAATGGCCAAGCCTGCAGTCGCTGTTACTGGATGAAAGTGGGTTAAGGGGAGAAAGGGTAGTGTGTCATTGGTCAAAGTGAAAAAAAGGTTGTTTACCATTGTGGTGAGGATGTACTTGTAGAAGGCTGACATCATGCCTAATTCTGAGGCCTAGAGAGAGGGAGAAATAGCAAGAGATATGCTGTAGCTATATCAGAAATCTAATCATAAGTCAAACTATTGTACATTGGCACAGTTGAGTCATGCCAGATCTGTTTTTCAGTTGTGTTGAATATAAAAGTCTGAAAAAACAAATCCGGTATTTAAAATCCCTTTTAAATTCAATTTAAGTATTTTGGAAATTGTAAGTCAAGGATAAAAGTTATGACATAAAATAATCATTATTACATTAAAAGTGCATATGATATTATATACTGTAAATATACTAGATTTTTTTTCACTTAAACTCATCAAATTGTATTTAAAAACATTGAGAGAAAATAAAATATTGTTATATATACTGTAAATATCCAAGATTTTCTTTCACTTAAACTCATCAAATTGTATTTAAAAAGAAAAATTAATAATACAGAAAAAAATCAAAATATAATAATCTTTGTCAGTGGCCTCTGACTTTTGGACGCCTATATGAGCACACATACCTTCTTTAATATTAGTATTGACACTGATGCATTGGCATCAATGATAATAGTCGCAACTTTGTCGTCACGGATTTCCTTCAGCAGGGGGGTGGGGTCCAAATTTTCATCAAGCATTCTGACTGAGAGTGTTTCCCGGGATATAAGGAAGTGACGCACAAGCTCCTCCAATCGCAGCAGGCCTGAGATGTAGCATAAAATTCCAAATCATTATTCGACGATAAAAACATTGTCAACATATATTCCTGGGCATTTGTGAAAAATTTGTAAAACTCTCATAAATATTATTAGAATTCTTTTACAATGACTGCATATCAGAATGGGCATTCAGCAAAAATATGTCATGTTGTGATTAAAATAAATGTCATGTAACCATTTAAAACCTTTTAACAACTTTCATAAACTGTCAATTGCAGTAAACCTTACGTTTCTTTCCACCCTGCTTCTCCGTATTAAAGTCAGTGACTATCGAATTAAGTGACTTTGAGAGCCAATAAATTAATTCCATATGTACATAAATTTGTGCCCTAGCCACCGCAAAATCCATATGGTGACTCCATTGATTTTGGACAGCAGTCAACAAGATGCACGGCTAACGATAACAGCAAGGTGAAGTGATGAAAGAGTGCTTTCTCAAAAAAAAATAAAAATAAACTCCGTGTGGTGGTATCCATGCTCTCTCGTACATCCACATCGATAAAGAACCAATGTGTAGATGAGCACATCTATGCATGCTAATGCACGCAGGGAACTCAAACACATCTAACTCTGCACAAACTTAACCACCTGCATCTTAAACAGACAAATGCTCGCTTACACATTAACATGAGCACAGACTGTGATGATTATATGGAAAAGGATGGGATAAGTGCAGATATGCAAACAGCAGTAAACAGTGGTGCATAAAACCAAAGCACCATTACCCAGACCATACCAATCAAGCGAGAGCTGCTCGCATCAGCAAGTCACGAGAGATCAACTCGCAGTCAGCATTGTAATGGCTCACATATGTTTCACTCTAGTGCGCTAACTACTTCTCATTAAGCTGAGTCAACAAATTTGTCTGCATGTTGACACAATCCTCAAAGTGATGTCCTGTATATCTGAATCTGAATAGCACTTTTCTTCTGACATCTGACATCACCTGAAAGCCAGATGTGCTTTTTGTTTCCAGTCCCTTCAACCGTGACTATAGTTTAACAGTTAAACAGTTACATATGGTAAAATCCCATGCTATTGGGTATGTAAGATATTTTATTAATAAAAGTCTTGGGGCAACAAGTTTCTGTGCTCCTGAATGTTTCTGTTTGTGCGCAGCACGATCTCTGATCTCTCTCTCTGTCTGTCTCTGTGCGAGTGATTTGTGTGGTGTGTGTGTCAATGAAAGCAGCGCATTAATATAGAACAGTGAATAAACTGACTTGGAACTACCTGTGCATTAAACGGTTTTAATGCATGCCAGCCAATCAGAATTTAGTATTCAGACAAACCATGGTATAAAAGCAAATGACAATGCCAATCCAAACTTGACTTTCAACCTTGACTTTCCAATCAAAAAGCATCCTCTAACATGCCAAGGCCAGCTATCCAATGCGTTGTGATTGGCCGAATACCTCAAGCGTGAGACGGAAATGTTACGCCCCTACCATATTTTGATGATGCCGTGTCAGGCCGGAGCGATGATTCAAAAACATGAATACCCATTATAAACGAGGCATTCGTTGCATCCAGTGGGGACATAATTATGGATTATAATGACTTATACTGTCTTTTTACGTGTTGCGTTGCATCGCGCCGCATAAACATAAAACCATGTCTGCATTTGTAATCGGAGAAATTACAAACAACAAGCCCTACTCTACACTGCCCAAAAAACTCGCTTTAAATATAAAAAATATAAAATATAAAAACTCTTTAAATATAAAAAAAGTACTTACAGTTTGTGAGTCAGAACAGCCGGCATTGTAGTAGAATATTTGGGTTGAAGTGTTCTGGAACAGTGTTGTAAATACAACTTAAACACTGATTTCTAGTCGTGTCCATTTTTGGAAGGCCAAACAAAGTAGTTTCGCTTTCACAACTAAACACAGCGTCACACACAGCGGCCTAGAGTGAGCAGAGGCTGGGGGCTAGAGTGAGGAACGGCCGGAAGGCTAGAGTGAGAAGATGCGGCGGGCTTGAGAACGGCGCAGGCGGCGGATTCGACGAAGGAGACTTGCGGCAAACACACGTGACGACAAAGAGCTTGTAACACTCCAAAGAGAAAGGAAAAATTGAAATCGCATCATATGACCCCTTTAATAATAATACAAAAAGAAATCAACCTTTAGCCTTGATTTTCCATTCAAAAAGCATCCTCACATTTTCCAATCAAATTCCAATTAAATCCTGTCCCACCCTACAATTTGTTCTTGCTGGATTTTCATTCAAGTTGTTAACGTTTCATTCAAAATACTTCACATTACAGAAGTCAAATTGTGAATGCCATTTGATGCGAGTACCAGTGTGTGTGTAGTCGGGCTTGTTGGACTCACTTGTGTCTGTAGTCTCATATTGAGAGTCTCTCTGCAGCTCAAAGATGTCGACCTCCACGCGGGCTCGTGACGGGCCCTCCATCACACTGTTGATGTTTTCTCGGGCCAGAGCCAATGCCAACCGCTCTCCACGTCCACACGCTGACTGATCATCTAAAATAGCAGCTGAAGAGGAACAGAAAAAGCTCTGTTTTGATTCCTGTTTTCTGATGCTGATGATTGAAGTCGCGTTTGTTATTGCAAAAAGATGGAGTTACTCATCATGACTGTACAGAAGCAAGTTTGCAACGAATGTTGCATGTTGTGATGTTAACTGATTAGATTGTGCTATTGAGCGCATTTCGTTTGGAGGCTTCCCAGGGATTAATTGATGCTTTATTGTTCGCAATAATCAAGACGAACAGGCTGATGCTTGAAGCAATCAGTCACATGCTGTGAAGCAACAGCCAAGTACATCATACTTTGAACAAGGCTCCTACTTGAATCCGATAATATTGTCTAATTTTGCCTGAACTCTGCTCTAAACGGATTAATTTTATTTTTGATAAAAAAAAAAAAATTGAAGAAAAATGATCCTAACATACTTATCTGTGATTATCGCCTCTCGCTCTCTGCTCTGCATAACAGGTGTTTAGTTGAAAAAGATTAAGCCTAGTAGGTCAGTACTTCAGAAGATGCGTTTAAACATTACAACAAGAACAAGCTTCGTAGTCACTATAAATGTGGACTTCACGCTGATGCTTGCTGCCTCCATTACAAGAAAAACATTGGGGTTATCAGGAGACCAATGCAACCGAAAAAATAAAAAGTGTTTTATTTTTCAAATAGCCTCTGTAGATAAAGCTGGCAGAATTAGACCTCTTAATGGTTAGAAAGTGGACTAGGTTAGTGCCGCAGTTGCATAGGTAAAGGCCAGCAGTACTATTACTGTTACCCCTGACACTGACACCATTCTCAGCACTTTTTCTGCTACAGACATGAATGATACCTCAAATTATGTGGCTTTCTGAGGAGGTTTTCCTATGATAAAACAGGCAAGATGATCCCATAGTTTTGACTTGGACCAGTAAAGCAACACCTAGAAACGGAGAGATGATGCAAAGATGCACTTTTGTGTGTTTTCTAACAGGAAGTGGTGGACTCTCACCCATCCTGACGGCTGAGAGAGCGGGCACCTGGCTGTGAGAGGACGGGGCCATGGTCAGCAGAAGCAACAGCAGGAGGAGGACGAGGAGGTGAATCGACAGCAGCAGCGCTGGCAGAGCCGGCATCTTCCACTGCTCCTCATGGAGAAAGGTCGTCTGGCTGCCTGCACCGCCACCTGGAGGGCAGGTACGTGCTACCGCCAGACCCAGAGATCGGCTGAATGGATTCGAAAACGGTAAAACTCAGTGTTCCTTTAACTATAAGTGAGTGTTAGATGAATGCAAAAGTAATTTAAATGTAAAAATGGGGGAAATGAGCATGCATAGTTACAATTCCAATACAGACTTGTGCATCCCAAAACAAAAAAATAGCATGTTGAGAATAGCACCTTACATATAAATTTTTTGTATGTATGTGTTAAATGGTTAAATGCCTGGATGACCGACTACATTATCCAAAATGTGCAGTATAAATTTATAAATAAAATTAGATTAAAAAAACAACACACAGCATAACATAATAAAATAAAAACAACCAAATGACAACCTAGATAACTAGATGCTAGAAGTTGAATTAAATATGCAACATTTTAATATTATTCATTGCAATCATGTAAAATAGTGTGAAAACATGTGAAAACAATGCTGCAAGATAGCACATTGAATAATGCATATTCCGCTCACAGTATATGATACACAACTTGCAGGAAGCAGTATGGTATTATTTCATTCCAGACATAGTCCTCGATTTTGTTTAACTTGGCTGTTGTCCACACCACTCTGTCCATGTGTTGCATCACCCACTTAAGCTATTAAAGGCTTCCTCGTTGACCATTTTGGTTCACAAGCAGCACAAACATGTCACTTTTAAACATAACGCCTGTTTTTTCAATGCCCTTCACTAACACACATACAAACACACAGGTATATATTCCCATCCACACATCGAGAATGAAGATACCCACACACACAAGATGCCTGTTTCTTGTCCCAGTGCTATAATATGAGCCATACACAAGATGCTGTGGATGTGATGTGATAAAATATTCAGGACCACTGCTAAAGAGTACATTGCTGTTTATTAGCACCTGAAAACATATTTGCAGCAGTTGCGGTGACTAGCTGAGGTTGTTAACTGGAAACCGAAAACCACATTTTTAAAACCATGATGGATGATTCAGAATGGTCATTTTGACTGATAAAATATTAAGGTATCTGGTCTATTGTGTTTCTATACTTAACATTGATTCACATAGTAATTCTGGGATGCTATACAGTTGACTGACGAATAACATGAGCTTACAATGGGTGGTTTTCCAAAACTTTTCAGTCAAAGAGGAAAGTGTAGACGTACGCAAGCATAAAATGAACACAGACCTTTCAAATCAAATGTGTTCAGGTCACTGTAGACCTAAACAGGACTGATACAGGCCTAAATTATTACTCCTACACTCTCAGAAAAAAAAGGTACAAAAGTTGTCACTGGGGCGGTACCCTATCGAAAGGTACACTTTTGTACCTTTTAGGTACTAGTATGTACACTTTAGGTACTAGTATGTACCTTTAAGGTATCAATATGGACTCTTTAGGTACAAAGGTGTGCCTTTTGAAAAGATACCGCCCTAGTCACAACTTTTGTACCTTTTTTTCTGAGAGTGTAGCGCATTAATAAAATACCATGTGCGTGATATTTCACATATGCTGCTCACAGATAAAGCAATCTCAGAAGAGGTGCATGCATGGAAAAATGAGCACGTATACAAATGGAACAGTAAACGAATTACCAGGGAAATCAAAAATGTACAAAAATAGACCATGACAGAAATTTTACAACCCAGTCAGTCAAAGTGATGTATAATGATTGTTTGTAGCTCAACCTCGGCAGAGGCCGCATGCTGCGAAATAAAACAATTCACCACAAGAAAACCCACAACAGAATACAGAGAAGCCGAGAGAATTGAATGCAGCCAGAAGAAACAGACTCATAAATGGCTTTGGGAGACAAAGAGGAGAGCGAGAAAGATTGAACGCTTGACGAATGCAGCATAATAGAGCCAAAAAGACTCCGGCCTGCTGTGTGTGTGTGTGCATGGGCCGCACAAAACAGAGACACAAGTCAACCTACAGATCAAGAGCCTCATCCCTAAAGCCGCCGTCAATCCTGGAGCTGCCTGTGTTTGAGTTTGTCAACAGCTTGATTTGTATTGGCCTTCCCCGGCTCCACGAAGTAAATGTTTATCTTTCCTGCCAATAAGGCCCTTTGAATGCATTCAAATTGAAGCCTGAATGGAACCAAAATGAAGTGAGCGAACCAAAAAGGGAGGAGAGGACAGAAGAAAGACAGCCGGGATGAGATAGCGCGCGAGAGAAAGCAGAAATAGCGTGGAGAGGAAGATGAAAGTAAACCGAAGGAGATAGTGAGAGGGGGAGAGTGTAGAAAGAAAAAGAAAGTATTAACACACACAAGTAAACACCACATGAGGTGACAGCATGCTGAATGGGCAGAAATTCAAGCTTGGCTGTTTCAGTTATTTAACTGTTAGCTTTCCCGTATGCCTGCATTGAATTTAACAGTCAGTGTAATTGCCTGCAGGCTCGACTAATCAATGGAGCTCGGCTTTCACTCTTTATGACAATATATAATGTGTTTAACACATCCTAAGACTGATGCATGAACACTCACACCTTGCTAACCTTTGCAAATCTCATCAGTGACCACCATCTTCTTGGCCCAGTGGCCTGTGTTTTTATTAAATTCTGAAGTATCACACAATGTTGTTGTACAAAATATCAACACGGCCGTTGATGCAATCTAATTGAAATTAAAATTCAGTAAAAATAAAATTCAGTCAAATTCAGTAAAAATACACACAAAAAAACGCACGTCTCCATCATTTTCTATCTCTCTCATGCTGCCACAACTGGAGCCTGCTTTTAGCAGGTGTGCTGCTGTCAACGCTGGTATTCGGCAGAGATGACTGTTTTCCACTAAAACTTTGATGCGCATTGTCTCAGTTTATTACGTCAACATAACATATGATGTGATCACAAAACAATCAGGAAAAAGGCATTACATGCAAGTTTTTAAATAATAACATGTAAATTTATATAGTCGCCAGTTGCAAAAACTTAACTCGCAAATTAATATTTTTGGTCGCAAATGCAACCGTTTTAGGCGTAGTCTGGAGCCCTGTGTAGTACATATGACTAGAAACAAATCCTATTCTTAGATGGGTGGATGCTAAGCATCAGGCCAGTGATAAAGCATAAGCAATTCCATACATCTACTATTCTTGACCTTAAAGAAAGTCATTTTAGTGCCGCCTCTAGATGCTTTGTTCAAAATGAAGAAGAATGCAAGGCCCTGCCCTTGCTTGGCTTTTGTTCGAAGGCAAACCTAAGACCGTGCTTTTAAGGCTTTTGGGAGTCTAAGTACCAAGAGGCTCAAACTAAATAAAACTACAAAAATTGTCAAGTATTGAAGAAGACTAGACTGCGGAAAATATTCCAGGCAGTCACTGCTCCCATGCTGTCAAATCCAATATCCTAATTCTCACATTATACCTCAAACGCTGTCCTGCGGTTTCATTCGGATTTACTTTGGAACAGCCACTCCAAGCCAGCTGGCTGTGATCCTTCTCCACAGGCTGTTAGAAATGTTAAAACAGTGTTCCTAATATGCCTGTCACCCTGACTGTAATGCGTCTGTGTTTGGGACATTAACGTGGCTCATCCTGTGAGGTTGAGGCAAATAAAAAGGTGTGTTTGCCTCAGAGGCAGCGGTGGCATACTATAATGAAGGGATAATCCTCTCATTTAGCCACAGACAGGGGATATCTTTCGCTCTCGTTTTGTGATGGATGAGGTGTGTGTATGTAACGGTGCATAATGCAGCAGCAGAATAAACATTAAAACACTAGCAAGATGAAGGGGAACAGCTTGGGATGATTGGACGTGTGACAAAAATAGACAGAAACACAGTGTCAGCTGGACAGCGGGGTTGGTTGCTTGTTGAGCGAAAGAGATGATATAAAAATATAAGCCTGAAGCTTTCAAGCTTCAAAAAATGCAAACCATTAAAGCAGTCCATACGAGTTGTGCACTATATGCCAAGTCTTCTGAAGCCGTATGAAGCTCATATGAGTAACGGATTGAAAGGTTTACATGGTGACAGAATTTCTGGGTGAGCTATTTCTTTTAAAAAAAAAAAAAGGGATTGTTTGCAATAATGTTGGCCATATTTTGACCAAAAATCCTCAACTGTTAAATGCAAATTTTTGCTAAAAATAACCAAGGCATATTTTTTCACACTAAAGAAATACAAGAAAGAACCACATCTATTTTTTATTTCATTTATATAAACCAATATAACTAATAATAATAATACTAAAACAATATCTATCTATCTTTCTAAAAGTTTATGGGCTGTATGACATAGTTTTTTTTTTAATTATATCCATCCATCCATCCATCCATCTACACTCACCAAGACTGCATTTATTTGATAAGCAAAAACAGTAATATTGTGAAACATTATTACAATTTAAAATAATTTTCTAAATGAATATATTCTAAAATGTAATTCATTCCTGATTTGGCAAAGATGAATTTCAGTTTTCAGTGTCAAATGATCCTTCAGAAATCATTGTAATATGCTAATGAACCATTCTTATTATCAGTGCTGAAAGCAGCTGTACTACTAAATATTTTTGTAAAACATTGTGATACATTTTTTTACGGTAATATGCTGATTTGGTCTTCATGCACAGATTTCAGTGAAAAACATTAAATTGCGGAGTATCTTAACAAGAAGAGACATGAAGAATAAAATAGGATAAGAGGAATATGTCAAAGAATAAGTTTGTCATTGACCTCACGAGATCATGTTTCAGCAGAGGTCTGCAGTGCAGGCAGGGTGTGCATCTTATTTAGTCAGTGCCTCAGGCTTGAGCTCGTGACCATCATCTCGGGTTGTGAAAGGAGCCATCATCTGTCCCAACACAAAATGACAGTGACTTCACCCTACTTCACTCTCAACCGCTGTTTCTCTCCAGAACTTTTCCTTGTCACCTTCACAAATTGTCAGCCCACAGCTACACATGCCATGCACTCCCCCACAAACAACC